GAATCAACAAAGGGAACAGATACAGTTCAAACACCATTGTGTCCAACTCCAAGGTGTCGACCTCATGATTGTGTCCTGGGAAATTCCATCCATTTTTATCATTACTGGACAACTCATAGAATGTCAATCCGGGAGAATAACTAGTTTCGTTTAACCGCCGAAGGTGATTCCATTGGGTGTAAAAGGCAACATCGTGGCGAAAATTATATGAATGGATCACTATAAATCAATTTTGACACTAGGTGTTCGCGAAAAGGGTAAATATGTCTGCCCTACAGGTTGCACCCGCCACTGATTTGCATAAGAAAACGTTTTGTTGCCCGACGCCGTACAGCAGCATCCTCTAAAAGTTTTTGTGTCCCCTTCTCTCTTTCCATCAGTGTATGATAACTGCTCTTATGGGGATCCCGGGCTCAAAATGAAACCCGGCAACCTAACAGGCGGTCTTATGGATTGGATGGTCAGTCTCGGTTTCTTCGTACCCCGACGGCCTGGGCCGTTGTTCATTATATCAACCACTGGATTGCCTGTACGCGGCTCGAATATTGCAGATTGCAATGTTAAAATTCAAACAGTTACTGTACTTCACACAAGGAGGCAGTAAACAGCAACAAATAACGAGTGAGTGGGAGAGGTTACTTTATCAGCAACATTCCAACAACGGCATAAGGTGGGACAGCAAGAGTGGGCTTCAAAATATGCCCAGGGTATTCGACGTGGCAGAGAACGCTTTAACTACCAAGCTCTCCCATCGCGTACAACAGATAAGGTTAGATTCCGTAGGCAGCCAAAAGCTCGCTACAAAAATGTTCGTGCCCAGATTATTCAAGTGCATTGAAGACACGTGTAAATATTCGCTTTATCGTAACGTTGCAGTGTTGTGGGAAAGGAGTCTTTGTAGAAGGTGTTTTAGGCTAAATAAATAAACGGATCTTAAAGCGTGTGGGGGATTGGTGTTAAAGGTGGTGGTGGGCTGTGTAAAGATCCTTCACACTGTCCTACAATACACTGCACTAGGACGTTGACTCCCGGAGAACGTCGCTAATTGGGGTGTGGGACTATGAGCGCCAAAATCAGACGTAATTAAGGTAGGGTCAGGAGGGACCGTTATGACCGGGAGCGCGAAGCTCAGCACTGGGGATGACCGCGAGCGTCAAAAGCTGGATCTCAGGAAGAGTGCTACCACTGGCTCTTACCTTTGGATAAGCACAATACTGTAGATACTATTTACACGATAAAGAAAGAAGTACCTGTGACTATCTTTCTTTATTTGTTTCTTTTGTTTGTAATATAACGCCACGCTATTCCAGGAAATGTATGTCGGTCTGTAAATAATCGAATCTTTACCAGACAAATCAGATTGATATTGTGAGTAACGATCCACGCCGTCGGGGTACAATAACTGGCAATCGAAAAAGTCACCGAGCCTGACCGCCCATTCCATCAGGTCGTCTCTTTGGAAAATCATAGGTTGCTGGGAACCAATTCTAACCTGGAATGCTCAGGGGAAGTACCATGGAATCACGGATTATCTGTCCAGAAGGAATATAAGTCCCGAACCTTCAAGAAGAACGAATTCGCCGTAGTTTCGTGAGGGTCATTCTACACATTACCCTTTGATGACAAAGAAAATGTAACAATCATCAACCAAACCTGTCAGTTATGACGGACATAGTTTGACAATAAGAAATATATCATAAGATGATGTCGTTTCGTATGATTATGAATAATGTTATGTGAATTGTTATAGTATCTACATCGGAACAGAACATAATGTAACTTTCAAAAAGGACCCTTAATAAGACCTATTTTGTGTGATCGTAGGTTTTGCGCATGTTATATATGTTATAAGACAACACTATATGGCAATCACTGTGTCCACCCACGAGGCATCAAGCACAACACTAAACGCTTAAGACGACAGGATTATGGAAGGTACATCTAATATTTCAAAACTCAACTCCAAAAAAGCATCCAGTCCTTATCACACTTCAATATTTCTGCAGGTCTGTTAAAAAGCTCAGTCAGCGGTTCATTACGTCCTACTGGGAATTTAATCACACCATCTCTTTGAGACACCTACAAAAATAAATGGTCCTCAAGCAAATTTCTTCGCTGTTGAGGACAACTGTAAATCAGAACCAATAAAATGACTGACTTCTTTTATCTGATGTGGCCAATCATCACGCTAACAGTAGGACATTTTTCCTGATTTGCCACAAGCAGGTAGGTGTCTGTTGCCCACAGCGAGAGCACTTGGTAATCAAACACGACCTGCGCCCTGAAAAAGCTCATCAGTCGTCCAACAGTCTCATATTAGTGGTGATCAACGGTGCTAGCAAATTGGAGCTTTTCTCCTTGATTAGCAACACTTTGTGGAATTAACTCGATGAGAAAACGTCCGTTAATATGAACAGAGGGCACAAGTAATTCATTTTCCCAGAAGTGATCTTTGGCCCAGACAAGGTCTAATATCAAAGGTTAGAGAGGCAAAGATTTAATGGCTTTCAGGGAGGCCTAGGTTTGAAACAGAAATATGAGTTACTGTCAAAATAGGTTAAAAGTGGGATTTTAGTTCATATGCGTAGGCGCGCACGGTTCTGCTTCCATTAGCTTGAGTGCACACCTTGACAGCCTGCACACATGTATCATCATACGTTTGTAAACACCATGCATCGTTTAGCGTAAAAGTCTTCCTTATGTTAGACGATTCCTGCTTTCCGACTCCATGCATTGTGGTTAAAATCTTTGATGTTTGTAATTCCATGATTAACGTATCCTAATATCATTCATTTCTTTAAGGTACTGACTATAAACCAACGCAACAATCATGCAATGTTCAATGCACATTCTCTGAGACAACAGAATTAAGGAACGAATCGTTGACAAACTCATGAAATATTAACTATTGTTATCGAATTCAATAGTTTTTAATGCAAAATGTTGATCTCTTTGGTTCTGTCCTTTCAACGCCAGATTGTTTCCTGTTATCATTCAACCAGTGCAAATACACATGTGACTTTTATACCTTTCATTGTGTTATGCTCTCGAATGACCAAGAAGTGTAAAGATGGTTGGATCCCCTGCAACAACAAACCTTGTGTTTCAACGAAGCTGTCGAACGTTTTGTTTGTTGTTTAATGCCGCACTCAGCAATATTCCAGCTGTATAATGGCGGTCTGTAAATAAATTGAGTCGTCTGTTACGGCAAGCATGGGTTGCTGAAGACTTATTCTAACCCGGAGCTTCACGCGTAGAACGTAAACGTGCTCTTCATGAGGAATACCACTGTTGAGAACTCAGCGTTTGGTGACAAACGGTTGTGCTGCAAACAGGAATGACGCAAAACTAAGTCCCCGACATTTTAATGTTCATCGCAACACAATATCACATCTTTGGGGACGTAGGTGTAATCTACAGCAGGGCAACACTCACAGAGTTGCCACAGGCCGGTCGTCCACCAGTGACGTCACATTAACAAGACAACTCTATTCGGTTATCAATGCATGCATTACTCAGCGGCGTCAGTATGGGGCTGGAAGTGTAATGGCATGGGGTGGCATCACAATCCATGGGAGAAATTAATTACAATTATGACTTTGAGGGTTCCGGAATGGTAAATAGATTATGCACTTAACATTGAGGGTGGTCTAGATATTGAATTTGAATTTGTTCATCCTCGTTTTACTGTTATGTTCTATGAAGGTTCTTAGACAATTGGTATCATCTGATCTAGTAGGTGGCATAGCAATACAGTGAAACCTGGTTAGTCTGGACCCGCTTATCCGTACCATGTTAATCTGCAAACCATCCTTACCGGCGAGTATCAGTGGGAACCGCTGGGAACGTGTACATATATGAGACAGAAACTGTCAATACCCTGGATGCGTTAACCCAGATATTTGTTAATCTGAATATCAGTTTGGATGCTACCATCAGGATTCTTGGTGTCTCATTGTATATTTGTTTGTGTCAATAACAGAATTAACACCACATTCATTAATATTCCATTTACAGGTTAATAATTGAATCTGAATCAGACAGTCCAGTGACTGATATTGGTAGCAATGATCCCCGCTGTCGGGGAAGAAGACAACTGTTCAACCAAGTCACTGAGCATGAACAATCGATCCTGTTACGGTCATTGCAGGTTGCTGTGAATCAATTATAACCGGGAAACTTGCAATTTCTTTTGTAATGAAAGTGTGTGAATATTGTATACTGTAATACCTCCATAATCAAGGTGAGTGAGTGAGTGCGTTATGTTTAAAGTCGCTTTGAACAGTATTTCAGTTATATCATGGTGTGTCTGCTTGATGAGGGATGAAAGCACGATGAATCACGTCCTTGACGTTTAACACTCACGAGAATCTCATGTGCACAGTTTCGGTGCTGACAAACAAAGAAACATCAAATGGTTGAATCTGGAATTCGAAAACCACGATGACAGGTTTCTGGCCTGCCTAAGGGACACAACTCTGCACAGTGAAGTGGCACCAGTTAGCAAAGGACAAGGTGTGACTTAGGCCCTTTTTCAAATTTGATGTTTCCAAATAGGCCAGCAGGGCGCTTATCCAACTTATCGTCCTTTCTGGATTAACGAATTATGTTAATGTTTCCATCGACATATATATAGATGTTGCCAACAACTGTCCCAGTTAGACAATGGAGTCCCAACTAATATTTGTTTGTTTGTTGCTTAACGCTGCGCTCAGCAATATTCCAGCTATGTGACAGCAGTCAGTAAGTAATCGAGTCTGGACCAGACAATCCAGTGATTGACATCATGAGCATCGATCTACACAATTGGGATACAATGACATGCATCAACCAAGTCATCAAGGCTGACAACCCGATCCTGTTAGTCGCCTCTTACGACAAGCATAGTCGCCTTGTACAGCATACATGGGTTGCTGAAGACTCTTTCTACCCCGAATCTTCACCGGTCCCCAACTTATCGGACAAAGTTACAATGCAATGTCATCACATGAATAGTAAAGTGATCTTCCCATTCTGTTTATTGTTGATTTGTTTACAGTAAGGTACATTACTTGACTTATCTTTCTATAACCATCAACACAACAATTAATAACATCATGTCTCACTGGCAAACACCTTCAGTTACATATTTAACTAGCAAGCATATTTCATTATAATTCAATGTCATACACTCATCACATACTAGATAAAGTCACAATTACATTAACAATCCTAACAATCAAACAATCAGAAGTAGATTATAAAAATACCTGTATTAACCACATAATCTACTCAAAAGAAGTTAAGAACCACCCAATCGTTTCACATTACTATAGTTAATCTGAAATGCAATGACACATTAGTAATATGAAAGAATCAGGTGGCTCTGAACTTCTTTTGAGTAGTAAACTTTATGAAGCAGGCCCAGAACCATATTCTATCTGCCTACAAGTCTCCTAACCACAATTACATGAATTATAGCCTCTCCTTCCCTCTTACAGAAACAAACGAAGCCATAATGTCCTGAATAGCATCATTCTGAGGCGACTTACAAAAGCTCAATATTATGCTAATCATTGATTAGTTAGAGGACTTCAAAGAAAATACCTTGATCACTGTTGTTCATGACTGACTGTATAGCCTTAACATTGATATTCTGGGTATTACAAGCTCAGCTTGATTACAGTACATCATCATACCCTGCAGCTTTGACATTGACATCCTCAGTAGCAAATCCTAAGCCTCCTCATCAGTGGCTTAACCTCATCACTGTTAATTCCACTATGTGGAGCCATGGAAATGTCTCATGTATCAGCAATGGAAAAGACCCCAAACCTGTACATAATAAATCTTTGTCATTGTGCACTTGAGCTCCTCCTACAAGTTCCCTCCACTATGTTTTCAGGGCAAAGAAAGGTTTGCGAGCTACTATGATAAATATTTCTATAAAGCATCTTTCAGTTCCACACTGTTCAGCCTGCCCTTACACTCCTGTACATATCACCAAAACGTATGTACCTATCATACCCACTCATGCACATATCATACCCACTCATGCACATATCATACACACTCATGTACATATCATACACACTCCTGTACATATCATACACACTCATGTACATATCATTATACACTCCTGTACATATCATACACACTCCTGTACATATCATACACACTCATGTACATATCATTATACACTCCTGTACATATCATACACACTCATGCACATATCATACACACTCATGTACATATCATTATACACTCCTGTACATATCATACACACTCATGCACATATCATACACACTCATGTACATATCATACACACTCATGTACATATCATACACACTCATGTACATATCATTATACACTCCTGTACATATCATTATACACTCCTGTACATATCATACACACTCATGTACATATCATTATACACTCCTGTACATATCATACACACTCATGCACATATCATACACACTCATGTACATATCATACACACTCATGTACATATCATTATACACTCCTGTACCTATCATACACACTCCTGTACATATCATACACACTCATGTACATATCATTATACACTCCTGTACATATCATACACACTCATGTACATATCATACACACTCATGTACATATCATTATACACTCCTGTACATATCATACACACTCATGTACATATCATACACACTCATGTACATATCATTATACACTCCTTTACATATCATACACACTCATGTACATATCATACACTCATGCACATATCATACACACTCATGTACATATCATACACACTCATGTACATATCATTATACACTCCTGTACATATCATACACACTCATGTACATATCATTATACACTCCTGTACATATCATACACACTCATGTACATATCATACACACTCATGTACATATCATTATACACTCCTTTACATATCATACACACTCCTGTACCTATCATACACACTCATGTACATATCATACACACTCATGTACATATCATTATACGCTCCTGTACCTATCACACACACTCATATACATGTCATTATACACTCCTGTACCTATCATACACACTCATATACATGTCATTATACACTCCTGTACCTATCATTATACACTGCTGTACATATCATACTCACTCATGTACATATCATTATACACTCCTGTACCTATCATACACACTCACATACATATCATACACACTCATGTACATATCATACACACTCATGTACATATCATACACACTCATGTACATATCATACACACTCCTGTACCTATCATATACACTCACGTACATGTCATTATACTCTCCTGTACATATCATTATACACTCACGTACATATCATTATACACTCATATACATATCATCATACACTCCTGTATCTATCATTATACATGTACACTCATGTACACATCGTTATACACTCCTGTATCTAACATTATACACTCATTTACATATCATTATACTCTCATGTACACATCGTTATATACTCTTGTACATATCATTATACACACTTGTACATATCATTATACACTGTAAGTCTTGTACATATCATTACACAATCATGTACATGTCGTTATACACTCAAGTAATATCATTATACAGTTTATACAGCTATGGATTCTAAATACATATAAACAACAACATGATTGCAAAGTCACAGTTCTCATGAGTCCTGATGATCTTGATAAAGAAAACATGGAGGTTTAATTAATCATTGCATTATAACAATAAGTGGGGATAATGTTTGATTTTACTTTCAGATCGATCAGGGTCACAGTGACCTGATAGTGCATCCTCACCTGGTGGTGGTAGTACAGGGTCACTATGACCTTACATGTACTCTGATGGTGGTGGTACAGGGTCACTTTGACCTCACATGTACTCTCATTGTGGTACAAGGTCACCATGACCTCGCAAGTACTCTCAGGGTGGTGGTACAGGGTCACTATGACCTCGCAAGTACTCTCATGGTGGTACAGGGTCACTATGACCTCACATGTACTCTCATGGTGGTACAGGGTCACTATGACCTCACATGTACTCTCATGGTGGTACAGGGTCACTATGACCTCACATGTACTCTCATGGTGGTACAGGGTCACTATGACCTCACATGTACTCTCATGGTGGTGGTACTGGGTCACCATGTTTCAATGCCTTGGTTGGACAACATGATAGGTCAAACATCGTACAACAATCATATTACGCCACATCAGTCCCCAACAATAATCTGCAGTTACCACCCCACCCCTACTTGGATATTTTTTATCTACTTTTTACATAACTAGTAACAGTGATCATCTACAAAATAAGGCCATGATAAATTTAAGGCTAAAAAACAATAGGCACCACCCGCATCATCATTAAGTCCGGGCATGTTTCGTTTTTATTTCAATTTTAAAAGAAAAAAATCTTTAAGTATTCCACGTCTCGAACACACAACCCCAGCAGTGAAATGCGATAATACTTAAGATCAACATGACATCGCCAATATTATTGGAAACTAAATCTGGTTACATACTAGCTTGAACAAGTAAAAAAAACCACCACAGCCTTTTTTTAGCCTAATATTAGGTTTTCATCACTGACAGTCTCAATACAAGAGACCCTACCCATATCATTCTTCATCATCTCAAAGCACCTACAGACAAGGAAAATCACTGTGTGGTCCAGTCTGTTCCCTTCTTGCCTTAATTCTTGAAATACACCATAGACATAGCCCTCCTTAACATTCAAGCCTCAGTACAATACCTTCCATTTATTGTTGGTGTACATAGATGCCTTGGACTGTTTGTTAAAAAAATATATTATAACATTTTGATAAATGAATGATTAACATATTGTGGCCTGAACTATCTATAGCCAACATATTGATGACATTAACATTACTGTGTACCTGAAACATGATTGCACATTCACCTATAACATGATGACAACTAAAGATTTATTCCATTGGACCAAACACAAAATGATGGACACAGTTTCCATGAGAGTTCAGTGATGTAGCTGTCTCCTGAATTCAGTTGGGGAATTTATCCAAATATCACAAATCCCCATCTGATGAAGTGATCTTCACCTTGGGGAAGGTCTGTCAGGTTCCAGCGGTAGAGTCTGATCCTGATCACATCGTAACATGCAACTGTTTCATATCTTGTGTGCTATGACTTTCCTGCTTTGGACTTTGTTTCTGCTATCCATGCATGTATCTTTGCCTTTAGTTCTACCTGAGGTTCAACCATCTCTAAGCTCAAAGGGGATCTGTTGAATGGATCCGACTGATCGCTGAAAGAAGAAGCAAATAGTGTCATGGCACTGTAGCTCACCTGGAAAGTAGTCAACAGTTAAGGATTTCAACTAAGATAGCCACATAACAAAAATTAGAGTCACTGGCCAATGTGAAAATCGGAATTGAACATCTTGAACAAATTCAGGTGCCATCATTGGTGAGAAAAAGCATGTGAAGTTTCAGCTTCATTGGGCAAAGGCTTCTGAGGACATGATGTTAACACAACGAAAAATTGCATTTTGAGAAAAATTAAGAGCATGGTCAAAGTGCAAAGGTCAAAGTCCAAAGGTCGAAGTGCAAAGGCCAATTCAAAGTAAAAATTTGAAGAAGAAAAATGAAAACGGATGATGTGTTTTGAGCCCCTCTAGTTACTACACTGTCTGCACAAACACCAAATTTCACTACAGCTTGTACAACAAGGACTTAGTAATGGCAATAAGAAGCTTTTGGTGATTCATATTGTTGATGTGCAACTAAAACATCACAAAAAACAGAATACACACATTGAGCCCCACCCACTACAAATTACACATGTACCAAATTTCATAACATTTCAAACTATAATGACCTAGTTACAGCCATAAATAACTTTTGCAATATGGCTGCAATGGTATATACATCTTCATAAAACATCATCTTGACAAGAGCAACATGTTCATTATGTTAACATGTAGCTTTGAGGCATGAATTATTTAAGGGATGTTTTTTCTTATGGTTTCGTTTAATGCTGCACAGTGAAATATTCAGCTACATGACAGCCAACTAAATCTCGACCAAATAATACCAGTGATTGATATCGTGAGCAACGATTCACAGGGTTGGAGTATGATGATGAGCATGGATCACCATGGGCATGATGGGGGGGAAGCTGGTGATTTTTTTGAATGGATGGTCAGGCTCAGTGATTGCATAACCTCATCCCAACAAAATAATAATAATAATAATTCCTGGATTGTCTTGGGGATCTAGAACTAATTACTTACAGGCCATCGTCACAAGGACTGGCAGACTCACCTGAGTATATGCCTGGAGATGGTGGATTTGTCTACAATGTTCTTGGAGGAGGGAAGCAGGACAGGATCTTTCATCAGAGTTCCCATGATTGGGTCCAAGAACTCCTCAGGAACATCTGCTAGGAGCTCCTCTTCCTCACGCAGACTGTCAGCCAAGCCCTGCAAACATGGGGAAAACATATTATGTACACTGTTGTAGCCATGGGAACACATGATATCACATACACTGTTGTAGCCATGGGGTAACATATCACATACACTGTTGTAGCCATGGGAAAACATCATATCACATTCACTGTTGTAGCCATGGAAAAAACATGATATCACATACACTGCTGCAGCCATGGGAAAACATGATATCACAAACACAACTGTAGCCATTGGAAAACATCATATCACATACACAACTGTAGCCATGGGAAAACATGGTATCACATACACAACTGTAGCCATGGGAAAACATCATATCACATACACAACTGTAGCCATGGGAACACATGGTATCACATACACTGCTGTAGCAATGGGAAGAAAATGATATTTCATACACTGTTGTAGCCATGGGAACACATGGTATCACATACACTGCTGTAGCCATGGGAAAATATGATATTTCATACACTGCTGTAGCCAAGGGAAAGCATGATATCACATACACTGTTGTGGCCATGGGAAAATATGATATTTCATTCACTGCTGTAACCAAGGGAAAGCATGATATCACATACACTGTTGTAGCCATGGGAACACATGGTATCACATAGACTGCTGTAGCCATGGGAAAACATGACATCACATATACACACTGTTAAGCCATGGTGAAACATTGAATTTTGAAGCAATGGTGAAACATGACATCACAAAGGGGGTGTTATAGCCATGTCCTGGAAATGGGAAATCCTGACATCATGACAGTAACCTGAAGCTGAGTACAGGTATTGGTAAAGTAGGCCACTTGGGCTGAACTGGTTCCTGAGTTCAGAAACAAAAGCCTAAAATCTAAAACTTACTCTGATCTTGTCCTCCAGACCAAGGAAGTCGCTCATGACCTGTGGCATTGTGCTGATCTTCTGCAGGACTTGTACAGCCTTGGCAAACAGTTCGGGGGAGTAGGACCTCTGGTCACCTGACACTGCCTGGCAGAACATCTCACTCTCCCCCAAGTTCAGGTAAATCTTAGTGATGTCTTGCACGATCTGCTGAGGCTTGAACTCATACTCATTCTTGTCCTTTACATTGAAATTTCTCTGCTTGGGACCAACCTGCATTTCAGGAAAAAAATGAAATAAATTCCTATTCATTAATTTGTTGAGTGAGGGAGTTGGTTTAAATGCCACTTTGAACAGTAGTCCAGTTATATGTGGGAGGAAAGCCCAAGGTGATGCAGGTCTCAGACAATAACCACTTTGGTGAAATCCATGAGCATGGGAATGGTGCTGACAAGCCTAGAAACATAATCGGCGAGCTGGGATTCTAACCAACGATCATAGGTTTCTGGCGTACCCAAGGGAGGCAACTGTTGCGTCTTAGATGACTGGGCAACCCGTGACCCCTCCTATTAATTGAGGAAACTAGATAAAGTATTCATGTCACAGTTTGTACCATCACGCTAGAGATGAACTATTGCTGATGTGGCTCTAAAATTTAACTCACTTACTCACACTTTACAGTTTGTAAAAAGTGTCATAATTCGACATTTAATACCACTTTATAAAAAGTAACTGAGTCTAACATAACCTGAAACAATCACTGTTTCCATAGATGTTATAAAACAGAGGTTTCCAGAGGTTCTTAAAGCATTGAGAACACCACCATTTATAAGGAATAAATACATGAGAGCGTTTACAGAATTAGTATCTTGTTTGGGACACTGGGACTGTTCTGAGGCTGTGTTACACTGTTGTACATTTGCTCACCAGATGCAAGAGAAAGTAGTTGAGCATGCCTGCGATCCTGTCGACTAGCATGGAGTGGCAGAAGATGGACTGGATCTCCCGCGTCAGCAGTTCCAGGGCGTGGATGGTGTAGTTGGCCATGACGTTGTGGTAGCGAGCCAGCATCCCCAGGTGGCGGAAGTTGTTATCCGTCTCCTGTCGCTGTCGCGGTTCCAGGTTGTTCCAGTCCCCGCGCTCCTTCTCCTGTTGCTTCTCCTTGATCTGGCTCATGTACTGGAACAACCATCACAGAGTTGGTTTAAGGTGAGGTGAAAAGTTTGGTGCAAAGAGAGATGAAATGTTTGGTTTAAGGTGAGGTGAAACAGGGGTTAAAGGACACGTGAAATGTTTGGTTTAAGGTGAGGTGAAATGTTTGGTTTAAGGTGAGGTGAAATGTTTGGTGCAAAGAGAGGTGAAATGTTTGGTTTAAGGAGAGATGAAATGTTTGGTTTAAGGTGAGGGGAAATGTTTGGATTAAGATGAGGTGAAATGTTTGGTTTAAGGTGAGTGAAATTTTGGTTTAAGGTGAGGTGAAATGTTTGGTTTAAGGAGAGGTGAAATGGAGGTATGTGTACTTGCATGCATGTGTGTTCGTGTTCTCAATGATGGTGGCTTCATAGTGTTAGCCAACTGAGATACCATGCCTTAGTTCAACAACAATATCCCACATTATTATCGGCATTATTGAGTGATTTCCTTTGACTGTATCTCACACACGTTTGAGATGTTCAAGACTGCATGAAATAAATTTGAATGTACTCGCTTCTTTCTGAATTTTGACAGAATAAAGTGAATATTATGTAGGCCCTGCATTTAAATATAATCGCATCTTTCTGAATTTTGACAGAATGTCACAAATATTACATATGTCATGCTTTTCAAATGGAAGTGGTTATTTGTGTTGACTTGTGAAAAGCCTAGCAGACGATCTCTGTTTATCAAAACGATCTCTATTTATTAAAAGAAAAACTCCACTTCTTTTTATTTCTTCAAGCCCACTGCTATAAATTCTAATAAAGTTACTGCAGACAACGAACAAGGAAAACAGCCTGTATTGCCGAGTGCTAGTGCTGACATTGAAATTGGAAAATTCTCTAAGAAGTGAAAATTGAATACAGACACCAATGACACATGCATAGTACAGATGAACTTATCTAAACTTAAATCAATATGAGGCATTCCCAGTAAATGGCCTCTTCTACAAATTGGGTTTACCGTATTCGACGTAACAAGCGCCCCACTCTTATAAGCGCCCACGGCAATATTTGCTGATATACTGGCTAGTAAACAATCCTAATTAGCACCCCTTCCGATTGATCAATGTACACAAGACTTATTTATTTGCATATATGCACACTCGAGTTTTATGCACCCTTAATTATGGGCAATTAAATTCTGGAAAAATATATCTGTCGTAAATAAACATTTCAGGCTGTCACCATAAACCATGAAATTTATCTTTCAACTCTGTTTTTTTCTCTCACCAAAATAATATTCTAATAAGAGCCCCATATCTCTAATTTTGAGAGCGCCCTGGGCGCTTAATACGTTGAATACGGTATATGTGACAAGGATAAAAAAAATGATTTTTTGCAAAATTTGCAAAGAATATATAAGTTGCAAAGGATGGAAAAATAAAAAAATTCTGCTATGGTTCAAGGTGTTTCAGAACCAGCAACTTTGAAACAGGTGAGCTCAAACAAAATTCTCAAGATTTAATACCTCACAGAATAAGATTCCAGTCTAACATTTGTCTAAGGCTGATCCTCTGAGGCATTTAATAATGATGATTTAGCACATTAATTAAAGGCCATATATTTCAAAAGCTGGAAATGTCGTCAGGGTCATTTTCAACCCTCAGGGGATCATAACTCTATAATCAATCGGTAAACGGTGGATCAGGTGGGAATGATTGGGATAATTACACCTCCATATGATACAGCCTGATCAGTTTAAATTTCTCAGCTTGACGAGTGGAGACCGATTGAAGTTTCTTAGCCAAACTCTGAGTGGACCGCTTGTTAAGTACCTAACATGACACACAAGCCTCACAATTTTCTCATCAAATACATGTAAAAATTGATAGTAATAAGTTCAGATTTCTTGATTCAACTGAAATTACTAGCCAAAAAGATTTAAAGTAATTTCCAAAATGATTGAAATGTAGGATTATGATATGGTACTTTACTTAACATGCTTAAAGGAAAAGAGTTAATAGATTCCAATTGAATTTTTCAACCGTTTTATATTTGAACTGTAGAGTGGGCATTTTGATCGCAGAAAGTTGGATATGTCTGCTAACTGTATTACCATATTTTCTTAGTGCACACTTTAAAAAAACCAAAACAGCTGTGTAGAAGGGGATGCACATTATACACGCCATTTTTAAAAATGTTCTTTCTCCCAAACATAAAGATATTGTATCACTTTATATCTGGACTTATGTTTCTAATCTATTTCATTAAATCTATTCAAAATTTATTTCAATATTGTTTAAATTAATATCGGCGAAATCGTGTGTGAAGTGATCGTTAGATCTCAGCGTTTTCTAAAGCAACCATGGTCAGATTACCGCTATTGACACTTGAAATGAACTTCAGTTGACAGAGAATGGAAATATATATCATAAATGCCATACTTTGACGATTCTATGTCAACATATAATTCTCGCCATCACGAGCGCAGGAGCCTTGACATTAACTGGCCAAATTGTTGAATGCGGAAAAAAATATCCAGCAAAAGCGATCAGCTGCACTGACGTGCTACGCTTATGGTTATTATTATTTTAAATATATATAGTAGAAGCTACAACTAAAATAACATGATATTGGAATATATTATTCCTTATAAATAATACTTTTACATACAATTTTTTCCGATCATTGCATCAAAATTCTTTCAAGTTATATCATTAGGTAAGTTTGACCCAGTAATTGGTAGATTCCAAGAAAACATGTACGGCTGATTGCTGTTTCCAGCTTAGTTTACGAGAATATACACATGGTAATCTTAATCTCTGCATGTAAAACAATGCCTAGCAGAACAGAAAATACAATTTAACGGAAATCAACATGTCTCAATCTCAATCTCATGTCTCAATCTTAATCTCAAATTTCAAATTTGTACTGACCAAGTTTTTTATCACTCCTTTGTTTACCTGAAGGGGTTTGGTGTAATTTTTTTCTGAGCATAATACTATAAAAAAGAGGTTTTCCAAAATACTTAATCTCCTAGAGGGAGATGCGCATTATACTTGGTAATTATACTTGGAAACTAGATTGATAATGGTGATCGTCTTCATATTTCAATCATGACAAGTAGCACAGGAACTATTTGCCAGCAGAGGATAATTGACAATAAAGGTAGAAATTGACTGGATCAAATACATGGCACTTATCAGACCAGACTATGATATGTAGTTATGGAAAACATGTGATTGTGTCTCCTGGTGGCAAAAATAGGAATATTGATTATATCATAATTGATAACATGTTCAAGAACCAAGGTAATTATGCCTATTTCAAGAAATAACTAAAGGCCTAATTCATAAGCTGTGTTTAATTACAAAAGTGATCGAAGCCATTATTCAGAGGATGTTGAGCATTAATAAGACATTTTTTATCTTTTGATTAAAAAAACTAATCTTGGAATTCTGTCATCACATAACAGATTGTTTTACCTGTAATGCCTCATCGAGAAGAAAGATAGCATCATTAATAAGCAGGTTCACAAATCTCAAGAAGAGTGGAGGGTCAGTGTCCTCGATGTGGGCTTCGGCCATCACTGACAATTCCTGGAACAGAAAAAGATAAAGTTTTACATCATCCTCGATTACCCAGGACAATAAATACAGTATATACCCCGATACAAGACCCACGATACAATACATTTGATTTACAACCACTGTATCGCAATGCATATACCATGTACACACTACATTTAAAATTGTTGATGTAAAAACATGTGAAAAATAACAGAAACTGTACCACCAGCTCACACATATTCTCTAGCATTTCTTGGTTGTCTATAAACAGCCTAATATAATAATCTTCACAATGCCGTCTTCCCCTTATTATTTCTGCCCTACAATATCCTATCTTCATTCTCTGAAATTTAACAACAAACGATTCAGGGTTGCAAAAACAAAGAACATCAAACTTAAGAAAAAACAGTAATGTATCAGGATACACATCGTATCGTGACCCTTCTGTATCGTTACACATTTAACAATAAATCTCCTTTCCGCAATGATTAATACCCTGGATCCATTTGAAACAACAGATTCAGGGCTTGAAAAATGCACTTGTCTGCTTATATTGACAAGTGGCAGCATGTGCAGGGTGAGAAAGAAGTGAAGAAACGCTCGTCCTACCGGGGAGGCACATATTCTTCAATCTTATAAATTCATCACTAATCGTTTACAATAAAATATGCAATAAAATATAAAATAAAATGAAAAAGAGTGTTTGCGCAGGTCTCAAAACTATTTTGCCGGAGGCATTATATTTTTATTAGTTTTGGTGTAAGTGACTCGTTACTGAATATTCTCAAAAGTCAAAGCAAAAGTGAATGACTTTGTGAGGGTGATGGCTGTTATTATTAGGGAATGGTAGGGTTGACAAGACAAAAACATGATTTGATTACCAAACAGGGCAAAAAATGAATTGAAAAGAAACAGTATGACTGTTAAAAACAAAAAATGAAATGTTCATGGCGGAGTGCTTTTGAATGGGCAGAGATGAAGATGGCCCTGACTGTGAATTATTTTGTACTGTGTCGTAAATATCCTCAACTCAAAGCTTAAATGCAGAAAGTGGTAATAATAATTGAGAAAATGAAACTGTATAAAATTGAATTTGTGGCTCATTCAAACCTCACTGCAAATTAAGCTATGGTGGTGAATCGGTCCAGGGCATATATCATAAAAGAAATGAGATAAAATCTCAAATCAGTTGGTCCTAAGACAAAAACTTCCCTAACGGTATGGAAGCCAATGCCTAGAAGCCTTTGTATTCATAGATACATGAAGAATCTATCATATTTTGTGGGGAAAAGACAACAAAATTCTTGAAATGTGTGCTTATGTTCAAACTTTACTTGGCCTAATGTTATAAGAAAGCTCAAAATCACGGTGTCTGAAATTCCAGGGGACAAGACAGGAAAATGGAAGACAGTAAATGTAAACATAACTGCTGATGTCTAATATGTTTTTTCCTATTCATTTGGCATTTTTTATCATCCAACACTCCTTCAACACTTGATTAGTTTATATATTTTAAAAGAAAAGGGCACTTTGTTTCACTCGGTGTATGTAGACTACTCAAAATAAATTAAAGACCATCCAATTCTTTCATATTACTTTAGTTAATCTGTCATGTAAAACAAAACTTCCATTGAATAAAGACAGACATTGACAGAAAAATTGGACATGCAAGTTATTTTGGCCACAAACAAATTGCCACATAAAAAGAAGAAAGTAGATATGTGCCCCACCTTAATGGCTTGCCTGTGTAAGTCTATCTCCCAGATGTACTCCAGCACTTGGTACATGGGGCGGCGGTAGTTGAACTTCTGCTCGAACTCCACACTCTGCCCTGTCATCTCGATACTGACGAACACATGAAGCAACGTTGTGGAGAGCTGGGCAACCTGGGGGTGCTTCACAAACAGCTGGTCTCGGTGGAAACTAGTAACAGAAACAGTTTTGTTTCAACAAGCTGATCACACAAGGAGCTATGTTACACGCACAGTCTTAAGACTGTGTAGAACCAGTCGGCGACTGAAGCCATTAGTCTGTGACTTCAGCCACTCGTCTGAAGCGTTTAAACTATGAACAATACATGATCTTTTCATAATCAAAACAAAAACGCTTGGGGGTATTGGAAGACCAGACATCTGGACAATTTACTAGCAGGTAACATGTTCCTGCAGTCAAGTAAAGTGAGAGAGTGAGTATGGTTTTATGCCGCTTTTAGCAATATTCCAGCAATATTGTATTTCACACATTGTACCCATGTCGGGAATCGAACCCGGGTCTTCAGCATGACGCGCAAACACTTTAACCACTAGGCCATCCGACCGCCCCAAACAAGTTAAGAGAATGTTTGTTTGTTGCTAACTCTGCACCCATCTAAATGTCCTGTATATCCTGTAGCTTGTATATACAGCAACGATTCATCTTCCCAAGGGAAAAGTGTTAACTGACCGTAAAACTAGCCAAACTAGGCAAGAAATTCTTGGCTCAATCGTAGCGCCACCATTGGCTATTAAGAGTTATGTCCCTTCTATGCCCCTCCTACTGACCAATCAGATTCCACCAGTGATAACACTGGCATTTGCTTCAAACAAAATGGCCGTGACCTGTCTTGATGATCTGATTAATTATAAAGATCTACATTGTAATATAACAGGTCCTACCTATTAAATTGCATCAAATCACATGAGCACCTTGATTAAAAACATCCTTTGCAAATCCTGCAGTCAACTGAAATCTGACCGTTGCAATCCATGTTGTTTACGGACCTGATGTTGATTCCGCTATGTGACCTTCATTGGACTATGCATAGACTCGTTAGTACAGCCAAAATATAATATCCATAATTCCAGCCTAGTTCAGCAAGGGTGGAAACTTGACTTTTTCAGTCAGTTAACTCCCTTGCCTTGGGAAGATGTTGGGTATGATGACACACTATTAACCGAGTCAGACCACCTGATCCAAAAAATCATCTCTTACAACCAGTATATGTTGCTGGGGACCAATGTTAAAATGGAATCCCCACTGGGGAAGTAAAGATAGAATTCTGTAGTATTCAAAGGAGTACTGGACTGACCTTGAGAGTATTCCGCTGCGGTTGCTGTTGTCCTTGTCTGGCATGAGAGCAGCCAGTGTTTCTGCGAGTTCAGCACGCAGGTGGGGGTTCTTCATCCGCTCGGGGCTTCCCATGAACACCAGGATGAGGGTCATCAGATGGTTGACTGCTTCTCCGGCCAGCTGCAGAGACAAACACATCGTTTCATTCCATCACCTTTCACATCAGTTGCAGAAGAACATCACGGCAATGGGTAGTGAGTATTTATATCGACCAACATGAGCAATCTTCCCAAGGCAAGCGTGTCCACTAGCCTATATCAAAGCCTAGTTTTAACCCTTGCCACATCAAGGCCACTTTTCTTGGCTTGACCCTGTCACCACCTCGCGTAGATCAGAGTTGTGCCCCTTGTAATGAAAATGCAATATCCAATCAGACCGCTGTTCAAATCTTGTAGAGCTTCACAAAGATGGCGACTACCATAAGTGACGGCCTAGTCGATCAGATAACGAAACAATTTGTGATTTCATCCCTGACACAAATTATAGGCAATCGTTGGGGGGTTTAAAAGATGAAAAAGACATATTCGTATCAACAAAGACAGGCAGCGGTAAATCACTTTCATACAAGGGTGTACCAGTCATGGATGTTGATTTTGTGAAGCGTTCTCTGATTGGAATATCATAATCATCATAATTAGCACAAGAAAGTGGGCTTGATGTGGCAAGGGTGGAAACAAGATTCTGACCCTGACTAATGTTTTTGGAGTCATTATATTGGCCGGTCAAAGTTCGCGAATGACCAGTATGAGATGACCTCAAATGGGATGCCCTCAGACTTGTCAGTAAGGGCAGTGAGCACCAAGATCTGACTTTAATGAGATAGTGTATTCGATGGAAGGAACACCTCATCATCTAGACTATCAGCAATAATCTCCAAACAAACGATACATCCAGACAACACTGTAACTGAGTAGGAAAGGTGGGAATGAAGGAGATTATTTATACATATTCTGGTTTATACATGGAAGTGTTGGAGTTTGGTCAATGCTGCTTTGAACAGTATTTCATTTTTATCAGGGCATGTCATCTTGATGTGGGAGAAAAACCTGAAGTGATAGTCACCTTAGAATCTTACTACTTTGTTGAAACTGTGTACTGTACACAGCTCACAAATCAGGTGAAGTTACGTAAAGTTAGTCCAGGAGAGTAGTTGGATGTGTGACCATATTCAGCAGCTAGAGAGTTTCTAGTGAGTGAGTGAATATGGCTTTATGCCGCTTTTAGCAATATCAGTTATATCATGGCAGGGGACACCAGAAATGGGCTTCACACATTGTGCCCATGTGGGGAATCGAACACAGGGTTTCAGCATGACAGTCAAATGGTTGAACACCACTGCCTCAGAGAGTTTCTAGGGTTTTGATCCTGCCCAATACTGCAGCACATGTAGCACATGTGGCGTCTTCTAAGACAAGTACTTGGAAGGATGAGAAAGCAATGTGACTGTTAACCTACAAGCACCTACTAGTAGACCTGGGTTGCATACTCCCCAGGGAGATGAGAATGAAAATCGAGTGCACACTGATCCATCCACCAGGGTAATAATAATGTATAATGCATGTGAGCTAGAACTCTGTATTATGTAAATAGATTATTATTACCTCAAACATGTCATTCTTAAACCTCTGGCAGAAGAGCACGAAGTCGGTAAGGTTTCCCATGAGGAATTCTGGAATGTACACCAGTGCAGCTGGGGCTTCTGAAGGGAGGGGGAATGTGACTGTCTGGAACTTGCTGACATCGTCGTGGACAGCAACCTGCACCAACCACGCCGCTGTTGCCATGTGGAAGTTGAGAGACATCTCCATCAGCCTGGGCTCAGTGAGGGCTGCCTTCATACTCAGGTACAGAGTCATGCCTGTCAGAATCAGATGCAGATCAGGTAGTGTTACATCAGGTGTGACATGTGTCTTACATTAGGTGTGACATGTGTCTTACATCAGGTGTGACTTGTGTCTTACATCAGATGTTACAGTTGGTCGTACATCAGGTGTTTCACGTGGTCTTACATCAGGTGTCACAGGTGTCTTACTTCAGATGTCACAGGTGTCTTACATCAGGTGTCACAGGTGGGGTTGAATCAGGTGTTACAGGTGTCTTGCATTGGGTGTCACAGGTGATCTCATACGATCGGACAGGTGTCTTACATCAGGTGTTACAGGTGTCTTACATCAGGTGTTTCAGGTGTCTTGCATTGGGTGTCACAGGTGGGATTGAATCAGGTGTTACAGGGGTCTTACATGAGGTGTGACAGGTGTATTTTATCAGGTGTGACAGGTGTATTTTATCAGGTGCGACAGGTGTCTTACATCAGGTGTTACTTGAGGTGGATCCATAAAGACCCAAAGCCATAATAACACATCACCTCAAACGACACATATCCAGTGTACAAGATTTCAATACATATATCTGCTGTAAAGGGAGATAATCTACCTTTCTCCATCTGAGCCTTGACACTGCGCATCGGCTCCTGTTCCTCGTTGGGCGCCTGTCCCCGCATGTCGTTGTACACTCTCTGGACTCGGTGCAGGTCCTGGTTGAGCTTGAGGAACTTGTCATGCACCATGTGGAAACCCATGTTGAGACATTGCTGTGTTAGGAAGAAGCACTCCGTGATGAAGTTGTACGTTGTGTCGGAGGAGGGAGACGGCTGAGCTGACTCATCTTCTATCTGGACTAGCTTTGTTTCAGTGTTCAAGCCTGAAAGGAATAGGTTTCTTGATTAAAAATATTACACAAATATGATGAGGGTGTGTGTATGTGTTTGTTGTTTAACGACGCACTCTCAGCAATATTTCAGTATAACAGAACAGCCTGTAAATTTATCGAGTATCGGCCAGACAATCAAGTGATTGATATTGTGAGCAACTATCTATCTTGTTGGGGTATGGTGACACGCCATCAACCTAATCACCGAGCATGTTCCCCTCAAAATTTCACTTGATTTTCTTGACAAAAACTAATTCTGCTTCGGATTTAAAAAAAAATAGATATCATTATTCACTGGAAATGTTCGATGTAAAGTCTTTCAGAGGAAACTATTTCCCGTCATTGTGAGTGACCAAGAAAATGATTCTGTCTCTGATAAAATGCCCAGGCTTCCCCCAAAAAGAATAGATCAAAGTACATCCTCTGTGTCTCCAGGGCTCTCATTTCGGTAAACCTACACTAACACTATCATCCATTCCAGTGGTTCATGCGATCTCAAATTACCTGCCCTTGATTTTCATTAGCCAATTTGGACAGTGCGGTTTTCGTAGGGAGCCTTCAGTGCAGATCGAGAGATATCTGCAGGCTGTGATTGGAGGATATTCTGTAAGATTTTTATGTCTTTCAAATGTACATCCATCCAGTTAATAAAACTGACCATGTTTTTCTATATTTAGTACTGTCTTTTTCAACATGATGACTTATGCTGAATGTGACCACAGCTATTTTCAAGTAGGTGACATTTGGTGCGAAACTGGGGGTGGTGTGTTTAGATTCCTGTACTCGGAAAAGGAGCTGGCTAAGCTAGTCACTTTTTATTTTTTTATTGCTGCTCTAAGGCCAAACTGTGCACACACGTACAGTAAATAGCTGTTGAATGCTTAGTTATTTAAAAAAAAAATATAACGTTACTATAGAAGTCTATGGGAAAACATTTGGTTGTGTGTAACCTAGAGCAGGTTTACCGAAATGCGAGCCCTGGAGATATAGAGGACGATCCAAGTACTGTTTGTTTGTAAGTGTAGAATGTACTCACGGCCTGCATGGATGCTCCTGGACTTGACCTCTCCGTCACTGGCAGCCACGGCGCAGGTATAAGATGGCTGGATCTTGAGTAGTTTAGTTGAGGTAGGGTTGGAGAATGGTTGGCAGAGTTTCAGCATCACATGACACAGGTTGAGACTGAATCCCTCGGAGCAGTACATCTGGTTGAACAGCTGAGGGATCTGATTGGACCAGATCTTTGTCCTACCTCAAATGCAGAGTGACTGAGTGAGTATGGTTTTACTTCACTTTCAGGAATAATCCAGCAGTAGTACTGTGGCAGACACTAAAGATAGGCTTGACATGTTGTACTATGGGAATTGAGCCCTTCAGTGTGACAAAATACTGCCCCAGAAATACAGAATGAGTTCTAATGCATTTCATGGGTAACAGGTGAGGTGAAATGGGGTATAACGTTGCCGTCCACAATTATTGCACTTATATAGCGATGTGTATGCACCTGTGTGTCTGGCTGCTTGTACTAGTCTGGACTGATGTCGATTAATAGTGTTAGCCCAGTGAGATACCATGACGCAGTTTAACACGAATACGCCACTCGGACACATTATACTGACTGAGCCGACCAGTCCATGTTTTAGCCCCTTAATGCCAGACAGGGTAACAACAAATACCATCTTTTAACGTCTTTTGGTATGATGCAGCCAGGAATAGAACCCTAGATCTTCCGCTCTCTGGGCAGACGCTCTACCACTAGACCACAAAGGCGGTTCATGGGTAACACATATCCATAAGAAAAATATTTTGTTACTTCGTGTCACTACACTGTAAGTAGCTTTGAATTAATTTCTTCTGCATTAATGTGGTATCCATTTTGCACTTTGGAATTGAGAAAAAAAGATACAAGAAGAGTATATAAAAACACAGCGAAAAGTCCAAAAGATTTCAGGGATTACTACAGTTCCTAGCATCCTGCTTGTTATGTTTTGACACATACCCTGATGTTGAAACCTATTGTGTCATGACTACGATACAGTAATTGATATGTCAGTGAATTGGTTACGGGACTATTACCAAGTTTTGTTTGTTTGTTGTTTAACGCAACACTCAGCAATATTCCAGCTATATGACGGCAGTCTGTAAATGATCGAGTCTGGACCAGAAAATCCAGTGATTGATATCATGAGCATTGATCTACGCAACTGGCGATGACATACATCAACCAAGTCAGCCTGACCACCCGATCCCATTAGTCACCTCTTACGACAACCATGGGTTGCTGAACTATTACCAAGTATGCATCATATGACCTCTTCATACCTGAATTAGCCTGTAAACATTTGCCCAGCCAGGTAAGGACGGTGTGGCGAAGGTCCGGGGAGAGTCTGATCAGAGACAGGAACAGCTGGTGGACACGCTCACACAGGTTCGACAGCGGCTGAAATAAAGTCAAGTCAGATAAACCTGTGATTGATATAATGAGCAATGTCCACCTTTGCTGGAGGAAGATGACACACAATTGTCAAAGTCACGGAGCCCGACCACAGATCCAATCTTGTTTCTTATTGTTTGACGCCACACTCAGCAATATTCCAGGTATATGACGATGGTCTGGAAATAATCCAATCTGGACCAGACAATCCCGTGATTGACATCATGAGCATCAATCTATGCAATAGGGATGTGATGACATACATCAACCAAGTCAATGAGCCTGACCACCCGATCCCTTTAGTTGCCTTCTCCAACAAGCATAGTCGCCTTTTACGTTAAGCATGGGTTGCTGAAGACCTAATCTACCCTGGATCTCCACGGGTTCAAAGATCCTTTCAGTTGCCTCATATCAAGTTCATGCCGAGCACAGGTTGCTGGAGACACAATCTGTCTGGAAGTCAGTTACTGCTGTATTGATCAATACAGAGGAAGCCAACACTAAGGATCTGAACCAGTACTCTCAGGGATGAGAGCAAATATGTTATGAAGCAGAGTCAAATGTTTAAACAGCTGGTTACATAATAACTTTGAGCAGTTAGGTTCAACTGTATTTATTTGACTAATTTCAACAGATTGGTTGGTTGGTTTGTTGTTTAACTCCGCACTCAGCAATATTGCAGCTATATGATGGTGGTCTGTCAATAATAGTGTCTGGACCAGACAATCCAGTGATTGACATCATGAGCATCGTTCTACGCATTATTGGATACGATAACATGCATCAACCAAGTCAGCGAGCCTGACCACCTGATCCCGTTAGTCATCTTTTATGACAAGCATAGTCGCCTCTTACGGCAAACATGGATTGCTGAAACCTGTTCTACCCCGGATCTTTGCAGAAAGGACAGTAGATGTGTATGCCCTACCTGCCAGATGTTGGCCTCGGTGATGTCATGCTCCTGTTTGGGAGCTGAAGACGGGCTGTTGAAGAACTCGTACGGTCCAGTCTCATTCTTTGGTATACAGCTGAGGGACAGGGCTGCTCCAATCAGAGTCATCTCAAACGCCTTGCCATTCTTCCAGTCCCACGGTGCATTGTATGCCATGAAAGCCTGCAATACACAATTCAATATGAAGTGATGTTTTGTTTGTTTGTTGTTTAATGCAGTATTCCAGCTACATGATGCATCGTTCGATACGATGACATGCCTCAACCAAGTCTACGAGCCTGACCACCTGATCCCATTAGTCGCCTCTTTTGATAAGCATAGTCATCTGTTCCGGGTTGCTACAGACCTATTCTACCCCTGGATCTTCTTGAAGTCTTGAAGTGACATAAAACTGATCATAAATACTGATACTGGCAAGAATATTAAGGAAATAACTTTCTAACTTATCTAGGAAATATATTATTTGGCTTTATACTCATTGGCTTTCTACATATTCTTACAAAATAAGACTTTGAGTAATTTATAGAATTGACCTACTTGTAATTTAGAATTACAGACTATCAATCCCAAGTGAATTAATCATTGTTCAAGTTAAAAGCTCCTGGAAATGGCATGGAAATAAGAACATGAATTCACTTGTCACAGATGAGCCATTAGTTTTATTACTTTCAAAAACAAGTATAGGCTATTTTCTAAACATTCAAGACTTTTCAAACTATTTCCGTGATTTTCAAGGCTTGACACTAAAGACCAAGGCTGTTCAAGTGGGACCTTAAAGTTCAAGGACTTTTCAAGATTGTACGAACGTTGCAGCACTGCCTTCATTATTTAGCCTTTTGGAGAAAGGGAGGTAATTTTTATCCCAAACTGAATTACCTCCCATTACAAAGGAACATTCTAGCAACTCATTTGTTATGAAATAACACATCATAATCATTTCAACATTTGTCAACTTTTGACGAAAAAACTGCTTTGCATACTTGTTACCATGGTTACAGCGAGTTTCCAATTAACTGTTTTGTCTGGTCCTACTTGCAGATTTTTACAAACCTGTAGAGGTTATGAATTCTCTGATGAAATCCTCCTTGGGGCACTTATTGCATTTTCCTGGCTCAAGAAAATCTACATGACATAGTTGTAACCATTTTCCTTAATAAAAATTGTTACCACACAAAAAACTTTGTTTTTTTTGTATGATATACGTCCACCCTTATGGTGCCTCACCCTCCACGGCGCGTCACGCCAAGGGAAGCAACTCTCACCCAAATCACTTTCCATATGTCTAATGCTGACGGAATGTGGGGAGGCGGGTGGCCGTGCCCCAAGGAGGATTTCATCAGAGAATTCATAACCTCTACAGGTTTGTAAAATTCTCTTTCAGATTAAATCCTCCTTGGGGCACTTATTGCATCAAGATAGACTCCTAAAGATAATCTAGGAAGTGGCATCCGTCAGCAACAAGCGTGCATAAATACATCGTATTTTGATTATTTCAATGAATAAACAAGAGTTCAATAAATGGAACCAACCTTATCGTGAGGCACCACCGTCGAAAGGCGGGGGCTGGAGACAGGGCGTTATCGACCATACACAATGAAAAGAGCCATTCTTTGTGGCTCATCATATCGAGAACTCGAGACACACACACCCCCCACCCCACCCACTTTTTTGAACAAGTGATATTGGGGGCACAGATCACGAGAGACTATAAACCCGCACAGAGCTAGGCCAGAGGGTCCCTGTAATCGAAGGAGTGCATGTGCAATTACGATGATTATCGACTAGTAATGGCTGGTATTGTATCGACCGTAGAAGATAAAATCCGGACCGTTACTGAGCAGTGTTATAACCGGTCCGGGCGGTCTAAAATCTCGAAGGCTCAATCGGCTAGAGATGTAGAACTTTGCCCAGTTCGGAGAACTGACTGACCAAACCGAGCACGCTCGCTTGAGTGTTTGTCGAGTTGGTAATGTTTGATGAACGTGCTCGGCTGGCTCCAAATAGCCGCGGAGCAGATCTCCTCAATGGGCAGAGCCACAGCATACGCTTGTGTCGTAGCCACTGCTCTAACCGAATGAGCCTTCAACTTGGTAGGGGGGTCCCTGCCTTGAAGCGTGTACGCCGTACATATAGTAGAGACTATCCACCGCGAGATAGTTTGTTTGCTCGCAGGTGAGCCAGCCTTCCTACCGCCATAACAGCAAAATAGTTGATTATCCTTACGGATACCCTTAGTTCTGCTGATATAGGACTTAAGGGTCCTGCGGACATCCAAGACATGAGCATGTCTTGTAGTGGTCCCCGACGAGGAAGGCTGTGAAAGAGCAGGTAGCTCAATAGGAGCCGTCACGTGGAAGGCGTGTGCGACCTTAGGACGGTAAGAGTCCGGCAGGCGAATACTGACCCTGTCCCGGTGAAAGACAGTTAGTTCGGGATCGGCTGACATTGCGTGAATGTCGCCTACCCGTCTGCCGGACGTTACCGCCACAAGGAACGCCGTCTTCCAGCTCAACAGCTGAAGAGAGAGAGACGACAGATCCCGAAAAGAAGGACCGGACAGCCAATCAAGAACGATTGACAATTCCCAAGGGGGACTGATCCGCCGGACTGGCGGTCGGATCCTGTCCACACCTGCTAAAAAACGCTGCACTAATGGGTGCGCACCCAAAAGTGCCCCGTCGACGGGGACGTGAAAGGCAGCGATAGCTGTAGAGTACCCCCGGACTGTCGATGCGGCCAGGCCGACATCTAGTCGCGACTGGAGGAACTCAAGTACGGCTACGAGATCTGCAGAAAAGGGATCTGCAATCCTTCTATCGACACACCAGCGCGCATAGCAGGCCCATCTATCCTCGTACTGAACGTTTGTCGAATCCCTCCGCGAAGCCAGTATTGTGTCTGAAACTCGTGCAGGAATACCGCTCTCCTGGAGGCGATTCCGGACAGTGGCCAAGCCACCCACTGAATCCTGGGATTCGGGTGGAGGGCCTCGTTCTGGGATAGGAGGTCCGGTCGTAAAGGTAATAGAACAGGAGGCTGAGCCAGAAACCTGAGTATGACTGGAAACCAACTCTGCGCCGACCAAAGGGGTGCCAGGAGCACAAGTAGTCGCGCAGGCTGAGTGGCTAGCTGAGACAGGACCTTGGAAATCAGAGGTACTGGGGGGAATGCCCACAGTATTCTGTCCGTCCAATCTAGCTGGAAGGCGTCCGGTGCCACCGACCTCGGGTCGGGGACTCGGGAGCAGAACGTTAGTGTCTGGTGATTCATCCCAGACGCAAACAGATCCACCTGGAACGACCCGTATAACTGGGAGATAATCCCGAATATCCCCGGGTCGAGCCTCCACTCGTGAGGAGCGAGGATCCGGCGAGACAGAGCGTCCGCACGGACGTTGTCTACCCCCGGGAGATAAACAGGTAGCACCCTGATAACGTGTGAGTCGCACCATAGGAGGAACTGCCACGTCTCTTGGAGAAGCGACGGAGACACCGTTCCCCCCTGCTTCCGGATGTAAGTCATTGCCGTTTGGTTGTCCATCTCTAGACGCACCACTTGGCCACGAAGCAGATCCAGGAAGCGTTGGAACACCAACCTGACCGCTCTCAGTTCTAGCACATTGATATGCAGTTTGATCTCCTGCTGGGACCATAGTCCCGAGGCAGTGTGATCGTTCAGAACGCCTCCCCAGCCGGAGAGTGACGCGTCTGTTTGAACTGTGAGAGACGGCACGGGAGTGTCGAGGGGGAGCCCCCGGGACAGATTCCCGACCTCGGTCCACCACTGAAGGTGTGCATTGAGCCACTGCGGAGTCTCGAGAACAGTCTCGAGATCTTCCGAGTTCACCCAAAGTCGACGGAGCGCTTGTTGAATGGGTCTCATTCTCAAGCGCGCCCGCCAAACCACATCCACTGTCGCCGCCATGTTGCCCAGTAACTGGAGCCATGTACGAGCAGTGTGACTGGCGGACAGAAGGAACTGGGAAGTAACACTTCTGACCTTGGTAATGCGATCTTGTGACAGAGATACAAGTCCGCTCACCGTGTTGAAATTCGCCCCTAGGAAGACTAGATTCTGAGTAGGGCTCAGATCTGACTTCTTGAGATTGACTATCCACCCTAGAGTGATCAGAATATCTATCACTTGTTGTGTAGCTATCTGACTCAGGGATTGCGATAGAGCTCTTAGTAACCAGTCGTCGAGGTACGAATGGCAGAACCGACCTTTTGACCTGGCCACTTGGGCGGGAATCAACATCAGCTTGGTGAACACCCTCGGGGCCGTAGCGATCCCGAATGGTAGAACCCTGAACTGATAACACCTCCCGTCGAAAGAAAACCTGAGGTATTTCTTGAACTCGGGGTGTATGGGTACGTGGAGATAGGCGTCTTTTAGGTCTATTGACGTTAGCCATTCTCCGGTCTCGACAGCTGAGATCACCGAGTGCAGTGTCTCCATCCTGAAGGACGGTACCTCTATAAGTTTGTTCAGCCTTCTCAGATTGAGAATAGGCCTGAACCCTCCGTCTTTTTTGGTGACTAGGAAATATGTCGAGTAGAAGCCCTCGCTTTCCTGTCCCACGGGAACCGGTTCGATCGCAGCCTTCATAAGAAGTGCGTCGACCTCGGCACGGAGGAATTCCGCCCTCTCCAGGGTAGCAGGCACCGGAGTGTGCTTTATCCCGGAGAAGGGGGGCGGATGATGTTTCCACCGAGGCAAATGGCCATCCCTTAGAGTGGACAGGGTCCAGGGATTGGATGTGACTGTCTCCCATTCCTGCAGGAATAGAGCCAGTCGGCCGCCTACGGGGACATCCGGCTTGAGGCAGCAGACCCCGGCTGTCGGCAGTTCGAAAACATGCGACCGTGGGTCCGCCCGGGGCGCTTCGGGCGCTAATGGGAACCCAATGGGTTCCCGGCCCCGCGAAAAGGCTGCTGGCCTCGACCAGCTGCCCTGCCCCTGCCCCAGCCCCTGCCTCTCTTGCTCCTCCCGGCGCCCTTACCTGAAGGAAGCGGCTGCTTCCAAGCAGGTGCAGACTTCTGACCCGGCGCGTCAGCGTAGGAGGAAGCAAGTGGAGAGGTCCGCTTACGCGGTTTAACGCATGGTACCTCCAACAAGGCCTTAGTATCCTTGATGGAGGCATACAACTGTGCGGCCTCTCGGACCACCTGCTGAGCCCCAGGGAAGAGGGTGGCACCCATCTTATAAGGCAAAGCAAGTAGATCCTGGCGTGTGGAAGCCGAGTATTTGGATACCGACATCCACAGCCTGCGCATGCCCATGACTGCGCACATCATCTGCGAGGCACAGCTACGAATAGCGTCCCTCGCAAGATGACTATGTACCTCCGTAAGTTGCGCGGCCAACTCCGAAGAGTCGGCCGGCCCCTCTCCCGCTAACTCCCTCTGTACGGCCGACAGATAAGCGGAGTGTACGGACACCCGGAGCTGCTGACATGCGTTACGATATTGCTCCTCGAAGCAAACGTAAGCAGCCTTCAGCTCCGTAACGCACGCGGGAGAGGGTGGCAACCGCCGGCCCTGCTTGACCTTAGCCAAGTTGGGGGTCGAAGACCCCCCCAGGGTAACGGAGGTCCAGACGCATTCGTCCACCACCGGTACCTCAAAATCACCATCCTCTGCTAACGGGTACCGCTTAATAAGTTCGGGCAGGTCGAACTTCCTGCGGGCACCCGACAACAGAGGGTTGATGACTTCATGCACCAATGAAGACAGAATACGGAGCCACACCTGGGGCGCCTTGCTCGGAGCAAAAGCGTCCCCCGGAAGGCGGAACTCAGTCAGATCCGACTGGGGCATGGGCGCAGCCACCTGAGGCAGTACCTGGACCATCTTGTCCCGTACATGCCTCAACGAGGAAACGAAGGAAAATATTCCCGAGGTCTCCGAGTCGTCTCCCCCCTCCTCCATCCACTCCTCCTCTCTCGATTCCGAGCCGAAATTAATCGACTCTTCCCCGAGAGAAGAGGCAGACGAAGTCGGAAGGGGACGCCCGAAGGCCTGGGCCTTCGCATCCCCGGGCTGCACCCGGCCCGAAGCCGAGTCCCGGTTCCGAGGTGCCGGGGGTTCAAGGGAACCCACCTGGCTCTGGGCTAGAAATCCGCTAGAGGAAGCCTCGGCCTCGGAAGAGGCGTCTGGCTCCGCTAGGGAGAACTGTGCGTCGGTAGTGAACGGGCCAGTGCCCGCCACCCCTCCGCTGGGGAGCGACCTCGAGCCGGCGCCGAAGCCCGGTCTGAGTTCGTCCCCGAGACCAAGTGGCCTGCCTCGGCCGACGCCGGGCATATCACAAGGTCTCGAAGCCGCGTCCGGCGCCGACAACGGGGAAGGCTCGGTCCGCAACTCCTCTCGGAGCTGAGACTTTACCTCCTCCATCATCGACGCCATCTGCGACCTCAACAAGGCAGAGATGTCTGCCAAAGACGGTGCAGGAGAGGGTGCAGTGATTGTGACGGGGACCCTAGAGCCTTCTCCCCCGGCCCCCGGGGAGGGAGCGGAGGAGACAGTCTCAGCTGCCTTTTTACCCTTTCTTACTTTTTTTGAGGGGGGCGGGGCGGTCTTTGCCGATCTAATGTCCACCCCCGCCTTCAATAGACCCTTAAAGTGTAAGAGGTCCACATTTCTCTTTTTCTGCGCCCGTGGTGTGAATGCAACACAGATCGGGCATGACCCATCGTCATGCCCGTCTTCGGCCAAACACTTTATGCAAGTATCATGCCTGTCTTGGGGGGGAATCGAAGCCGAGCACCCCGTACACAGTTTGAAGGTCTGTAAAAAAGACCGTAATTTTTGAGTTTGGCGGGAAGGGTAATAAAGTGTATCAGTGCGATTGAAAGATCGGAAAGATACGTGCATAAATTGTGTAACTAGAAGCAAAGGCGTAATTTAGAATGCGATTGGTAACGCGATACTAATAGCCAATGTCGTAGTATAATTATAACACCAAAGTGGGCGTGTTACGCGCGAAGGTGTAGAAAACCCGTAAAAAAGGTAAGTGTAATTTAAAATAATTAACACACCACCTTGGGTTTATTTAAAGGAAAAGATTGTAGGCTAAAGCCCGATGATATAGATTAAAAAACCGAAGCCGTTTTTGATGGCCCTGGTGTTACATATATCATACGTGGCACTACAAAATGGACGCTACGACGGCCTTCATTTCAAAGGTATCGTACACGTGTCACATAATTACAACTTTATAACTTTACAATGCGAGGTATTACGCCTTTGCATGAAAGAAATGTACCATACATACAGTTTGGTCTGCCATGGTTCTTGTACGAACGATTATCTTGTCTTTATTTTTTCTTGAAAAAAACAGCACGTCTGTCTTTGTCAGATGACATAAGGAAAGTGATTTGGGTGAGAGTTGCTTCCCTTGGCGTGACGCGCCGTGGAGGGTGAGGCACCATAAGGGTGGACGTATATCATACAAAAAAAACAAAGTTTTTTGTGTGGTAACAATTTTTATTAAGGAAAATGGTTACAACTATGTCATGTAGATTTTCTTGAGCCAGGAAAATGCAATAAGTGCCCCAAGGAGGATTTAATCTGAAAGAGAACTAAAGCTACAAAAACCTCAACTTCAATACAATAGCTCTCTGTGTCAACAGCTGACAAACCAACCATCAGGGCACACAGGAGGAGAACTTTCCAATCAGCCAATCAAGTCTTTTAATTCTTGAAATGGACAAGCCAAACATTCAGATCAGCATATCTGATTTCTCCATCTCGAGAATGCACAAAAACAAGCACAAACAATTTGGAGTATCTTTTCTGAGTAACATGGCACCTTCACCCAAAAGTGTGCATCCTGTTTCAGAGATATAGATAAACTTTTAGTTATTTGGGTATTTTACCTAGGGGGTTTAGTTTTAGAGGGTATTCAAATTTATTTTACCCACCTGTTTCTTGAAATTTGGGTATTTAACTTAAAACCTGTGTTGTAACAATCCCTGTAAATCATTCAAAACTATGTGAATAGTAGTATGCCCGTCTGCTTGCAGCTCCCTCTCGGGGAAGCCATTTCTTTTTACAAAACCTAGCATTCTAAGAAAGGCATTATTATTTTAATTACCAATCAGCGACTTATTATGATACAACATGTACATTGACTAGGCACGATGTGCTTTGCAATTGGCATCTATCAGTATGTTTGTCGCAGAAGCTTTTCCAAAGGTAACTGTTGGCAAGCGAATTTGGCGATTGGCTGATACACAATCATAATTATCTAACAGTTGTAATGTACACAATCATTTTATCTAATAGTTGTCATATACAATAACAAATTTATAGTTTTTGTTGCGTATTTGATACGCTAGGATTTGATTTGTCTGTGTATTTCAGTTTATTTAATGCATATTTTACACAAATACGCAGCTTATCTCAAGCTCTGTGTTTTTTCTCAAGACAAAACTCCAGAATTGAGGCAGTAAAGAAATGAAGCATCTGATTGGTGAGTGAGTGAGTTGGGTTTAACGCCGCTTTTAACAGTATTCCAGTTATATCACGGCATGCAGCTAATGTGGGAGGAAAGCCCGAAGTGATGCAGATCTCAGACGTTTACCACTTCGGTGAAACCCACAAGCACGGGTATGGTGCTGACAAACCTAGAAATATAATCGTGGTGAACCCGGATTCGAACCCACAATCATAGGTAATCGCGGCACCTTAGACGACTGGGCCACCCATGCCCCCTCATCTGATTGGTACAAGAATCTATGGAACCTCCCAGTTAGATTGGATGATCCGAGTTTCGCTCAAGCTTCACATCAATGGAGAGTTGGCCAAACCTTCACGCAGAGGAATGAAAGATCTGATAGATTTAATAAGATCGTACAGGACCACAAAATGTTTATTTCTCATGGACACTTGCATCATTTGCTGCACTCCATATGAAGTCTTTGTTGTTGGAGTAACATGAATGGCAAGAAGGGCTAGCTAACCTTAGCCATGTCATCATATTGACCTACTTTTCTCAACAAGAGTGACAGAGTTGGATCCATCACTACTCTGAACAGACACTGGATGTCAACTCAATATGGGATAAAATCCCAAGTGTCACAATTCAGAGTGTTTAGCCACAAGGACATCTTTGGTAGAGACAGATAAAGGATCAAAATAGGAGCAATTGAGAATTAGAAAACATGATAAGCAGATCCTAGCACTGGCAAGGGACGCAATTCTTCACAGAATGTAAATCCCTTAAAGCCCGGGGCCCATTGAAATACAATAGACACAATGTGCGAGTGAGTGAGTGAGTGACTGAGTGAGGTTTTACGGTGCTTTTAGCAATATTCTGGCAATATTACCGCGGGGGACACCAGAAATTGACTTCACACATTGTACCCATGTCAGGAATCGAACCTGGGACTTCGGCGCGACGAGCCAACACTTTAACCACTAGGCTACCCAACTGCCCCCCATAAACATAATGCTTTTCCGAAGAAAGAACTTCAACCTGCAAATACCATTGCCTACCTCTCCCAATGGAGCTGATTTACTGAAGAACTCCAGGAAGGCCACGTAGTAGAGAGTGTTGGCGTGAGTGAGGGACAGCTCCTTGGTGAACTTCTCCTTGACCACCTCCAGGACTGGCTTGAACACTTCCAGCAGGGAGCCCTCCTCCTTGTTGATGTTGATCTCGCGACACAGATGGAGGAAGAAACTCTCTGCCACTGTGTGTAGTCCTCCTGCAGGAGAGGGCAGAAGTCAGGCTTTGGATACCTTTTACAGCATATAGTCATTCTGCCATCATATAATTGTGGACGCCAGTGTTGAACAATAACACCACTGAGCCTCTGATTGAGGTGAGAACACTGAGATCTTGATTCACATATTGAAAGGAAATAATACACATTCACAAGGAAGACAAAAATGGGCTTCAAATATTGACTATTCATTCACATAAGTGTTTGGGACATCAAGAAAGGACTTTACATTTTGGCTTGAGCCATAAAAACGTATTGGCTTGGGACTACAAGATTGGGTTACACATATTGGCTTGGGACATCAGTAATAGGCTTCACATATTCATCAGGGATATCAATAGCTTCACATACCTTAATTTGGAAAATTACATTTTTCTCAAAAGCTGTAATTATTATTTTAAGGTTCTACATGGTAAGCATCATTTTTCAAGCAAATATTTTAAATATTTTATGCGTACCTGCCAAAAACTCGAACTCCTCTTGGAATATGTCCAGAAACTGAAGATGGACCTTCTGCGTGGGGAACAGCTCGGTCTGCTGTAGACAGTTGCGGGCGTTCATGATGATAAGGTCCTCACACTGATGGAAAACAGCTGTCTCCTGCAAATCAGAGTATCAACCACAGCATTAGAAAATAGGACAATATCTAAACCGACCCCTGAAGATCCAGGATAGAATAGGTCTTCAGCAACCCATGCTTGCCATAAAAGGCAACTATGCATGACGTAAGAGGCGACTAATGGGAACGGGAGGTCAGGCTCACTGACTTGGTTGATGCATGTCATCATATCCCAATTTGCGTGGATCGATGTTCATGATGTCAATCACTGGATTGTCTGGTTTAGACTCGATTATTTAAAGACCGCCATCATATAGCTGGAATATTGCTGAGTGCAGCGTTAAACAACAAACAAAAAACATCCAAATCATCATCCTGATCCTGAAATAAGAGAGGATCCTTTTTCTCCATTTCTGTACCAATTCCACAGGGGTATTTATCAATAAGTCAACAATGATGTGTGATGCTGTGTTTACGGTTACCTGTAGTTCCTCTGTGGATGCTTGTAACCGGGTGTAGCACTGGAACAGGTATCTCAGCACTTCCGCCTCGCATGCTGCTGCTGCTGCCCGGACATCCTTCCCAGAGGTCCGGGATGTCACCATGCTGTCGGCCGGGTTCTCCATCATCACTCTCTCAAACACTGCCTAGTCAAACATCAATGGACCCAATTACATCTCTCAAACACAGCCAAGTCAAACATCAACGGACCTAATTACATCTCTCAAACGCAGCCAAGTCAAACATTAACATAACATATTACATCTCTCAAACACTGCCAAGTCAAACATCAATAGATCACACTACATCTCTCAAACAAGATATAGTCAAACACCAATAGATCACATTACATCTCTCAAACACAGTCTAGTCAAACACCAATAGATCACATTACATCTCTCAAACACAGCCTAGTCTAACACCAATAGATCACATTATACATCTCAAACACGGCCTAGTCGAATATCAATAGATCACATTACATATCTCCAACATGGCCTAGTCAAACACCAATAGATCATATTACATCTCTCAAACACGGCCTAGTCAAATATCAACAGATCACATAACATCTCTCAAACACGGCCTAGTCAAACACCAGCATGCAACATTACATATATCAAACACGACCTCGTCAAACACCAATAGATCACATTACATCTCTCAAACACGGCCTAGTCAAATATCAACAGATCACATTACATATGTCAAACACGATCTCGTCAAACACCAATATAGCATGTGAAATATATGATAAGCCACAAACATAACCTTGTCAAACACTAATATTAGTAATAAATCACATTTCATATGTCTAAAACATGGCCTGGTATAACACCAACATATTACATTACATCTCTCAAACAGGGCCTAGTCAAACATCACCATATCACACGATCTCAATAAAATCAGATCTTAGTTCTCGCTATCGCTAAACAAAGATCTGAGGACATCCCATTATGGGTCACGTCAGAACGATCTTTCATCTGACCAATCAAAGGGTCCTTTACCAGATCATGAAAGTGACAGTCAGAATATGTTTTCTAATCACGCAACCTCAAAAACGTTAACACAGGGTATTCTGAACGACAGTTACAGCCCGTGCGACTGATTCCGTCAAAATTATCATCTAGCTCTCGCTTCCGTGGGATAAACATTTTAACGGAGGAGGCGTTGCACAATACTTCCATACAATCTCAACCATATAGTTGACATTCCTGAATGTTCGTTTGTTCAGTGTTCAAAACTTTAATCGAGAACTGTATCAACATATTTTTCAAGTGTAGTCTGAAATGAAAGTTGCCAGGTTGACATAAAAACTTGAGAAAGCAGCTTTCTGATTGGCTGATGTCGACTTTTTGTTAGTCAATTCAGATCACATTACATCTCTCAAACACAGCCTAGTCAAACATCAATATATCACATTAAATCTGTCAAACACGGCCTAGTCAAATACCATCATGTCACATTTCATCTCTGAAACACATCCTTGTCAAACATCAACATATCATAACATATCTCTCAAACAAAGCCTTGTCAAACACAAAAATAGCATGTAACATAAATGATGTGTCACTAAAAAAACCTAGTCAAACACTAATAAATCACATTTCATATTGCTAGAGCATGGCCTGGTAAAACACCAACATATTACATTTCACATCTCCCAATCACAGACAGGTCAAATGCCAATATAATGCTGAGTGACTGATGTAAGGGAGGTAACTCTAATACTTGGCGATAACTGCAACCAAGATGCCATGATTTTGGACTCTTTGGAATGCCAGTTGGTGAGTTTAAAATGTTTTGAATGAATGGAATTGTGTGTATGGGTTGCCATGGTGAGGACAATTAGGTTCGAAAATGTTCAACTTGTCCACATTAGTGATATCTTGTGATAAACAATGTTGACCTACAGTTGGCCTTCTCGTCTCTTCAATATCATATTTCATATCTCTTAAGTGAGTGAGTGAGTGAGTTGGGTTTAACGCCACTTTTAACAGTATTCCAGTTATATCACGGCGTGTCAGCTTAATGTGGGACGAAAGCCCGAAGAAATGCAGGTCTCAGACCTTTACCACTTCAGTGAACCCCACGAGCATGGGTATGGTGCTGACAAACCTAGAAACATAATCGGGGCGAACCAGGATTCGAACCCACAATCATAGGTTTCTGGCGTGCCCAAGGGCCGCAACTCTGCACAGGGAATCGCGGTGCCTTAGACGACTGGGCCACCCGTGCCTCCTCATATCTCTTAAACAGGGACTAGTAAATCACCAGTTTATCACATTTCATGTCTCTCAAAAATGGTCTTAGTCAAATACCAACAGATCACATTTCATCTCGCTAGTCATGCAAACACATTCTTCCCCAGTCATGGGAGTCAACTGATTGTAAAAGTCCAGTTTCCACCCTTGCCGAACTAGGCTGGGATTTTGTGGTTCGATCATAGCGCGTCCAGTGGCGATTACGGGTTAGGTCTCTTACATGTCTTCCTTTTGACCAATCAGATTCCACCTCTTTATATCACTTGCATTTGATTCAAACAAAATAGCGGCGCCAAGTGAAGACAATCTGATCGATAATCAAGTTGTTTTTTTTAATAAAATTAGTCTCACCTTGCGAAGTGCATCAAATCACTTGAGCACCTAGATTAAAAACATGAAAAGATTTGGAAAAGATCTGTTGACGCCTATTTGACGGTACACATGCTCTGCAAATCCTTCAATTGACACGGCAGTTGCCATATCGTTTATGAACCATATGTCGATTTCGTTCCATGATTTTGACTGGACTATGTATTGACTTGTTATTCAAGCCTTGTTCGGCAAGGGTTGAAACTGGACTTTTATAGTCAGTTAACTCCTTTGCCTTGGAAAGATGTGCAAACACAGACATTTCACATTTGTGCAAGATAGCCCTTATAAAAATATTGATTTCCAAACATGACCTGCATCACAGCAAACGTACTGTTATGACCATCATGCCTTTTATAGTGTATCATCACGATATGGCTGAAATATTGCCGATGTGACGTAAAGCATTAACTCACTCACTCATTTAATGCAACAGTTCTTGTGCTGGGATAGCTTTACGATATGGGGCTAAGGTGACAATGACACAGGAAGATTTGGTTCTGTCCCTAGGTCATAAATTTCTGAAATTGATCCTGTCATTTTATCAGGTAACTGGTGTCAATCTTAAGCTCAGTACCTGTGGCAATGACTCTTGATCGAACCAAGTCTGCCCCTGTAGTGCTGATGCCATCTCCTCCAAGTACACACAGCGACATGGCCGCTGCACATCCGAGCTTGTGCCTAATAAAGGACAGGGTTGTAAAATATACATTCATTAATCAGTGGCAGTGGCATTTTTCATAGTTTAACTGAATATATATGGTATTGGTTTTAGACAGTGGATTTGGTGTATTTTATTAGATTATGTATGGTACAGTTTCCAGCCTGATTGCTCCTAGCTGAACTTGGGCTGGTCAGTTCTTTTTGTGACCTATTGTGAGGGTCGAGAGTAATCTTTTGTCTTGCTTTTAGAGGGTAAGCTTCCATGCTAACACAAGCACTAAGTCAGTCTAGTATAATCAACTCCACTGGACAGTAAACCGGATGAGACGCGTATTTTGACACGTATTGTGACTTACAAGGATCTTCAGCTTTCTCTCACAAGGTTAGTTTTAATACTAAATGATAAACATTATGTAGGATGTTATATTTGTTTTAGTACAGCATGTGTAACGTAAAAATTATTTCAGGGTAGGATATACTTGTGTGATTTGAGTGTATGAATGTATTTTAAGTCATTAGTATAAGTACAGTAACAATAATAAACACAATATTCATGTTTTGGATTTTCTGATATAATGTACTATCATATTTTTTATGATAAAGGCGACATATATAAGTATTTGTGTCCCCCATGTTGTTCGCCATGAGAAATGTGTGTTGTGTATAATTATGAGCATATTACAGCACAGGTAATGTTGTGTTAGTAAGGATTAAATAAGGGCATATCTCTGTATGTTTATCTATGACATTCTATTTGAGATTATGTTTATAGTAGGTTTAGAATGAATTAATATGGCAGTAGATTACTATGTATATGATTTTCTGATATTTATATTTAAGTTAGAGTGACATGTGTATGTTATTTATGGATGGGGATCTGCAGTGACAAGTGATTTTGCGTACTTTCACCTGAGTGCCACACATTCGGTAGGCATAGTAATTTAGTTATATATTGTATATATTTCATGTATGTATAATTTACATCTTGTATATAAAAGTGAATTAATGCAGTATATTATATATGGAGAACATCATGACATTATTAGCATTGATCTACGCAATTGGGATACGATGACATGCATCAACCAAGTGAGCAAGCCTGACCACCCGATCCCGTTAGTCACCTCTTACAACAAGCATAGTCGCCTCTTACGGCAAGCATGGGTTGCTGAAAACCTATTCTCCACGTGGATCTTTACTGTTTACAACAAGGTCAACATTTAGAAGGCTGCAAAAACAAAACATATTTCCCGGTTTGGCCATGGAATTTATAATGGGTAGGCAATATTTCTTTTGTCATTGTTCCACTTCTAAAATAGTTGAAAAACATTCATGGGAAAATTTGCCACCAGCCTGTATGCTTTGATGAGTGCTACATCTACCTACCCTTGTCAAGTGTTATAAGAAAGATTTTTTCCACTGCTTCATTGAACTCCACTGCTGCAAGGGCCTTAGTTTCCATATCACTTTCATCCTGCACAATACTGGTAGGCTCTGCCTCTTCTGTGGTGTTGGTAAGACATGACACTGAAATCAGTAACACAATAACACTAAATTAAGTTCTATTGCAAGTAACACAATGTTGGTTGTTGGTTGTTTAACGCCACACTCAGCAATATTCCAGCCATACAACAGTGTTCAGTAAATAATCAAGTCTGAACCAGACAATCCAGTGATTAATATCATGAGCATTTATCCACGCAATTGGGATCGATGACATGCATCAACCAAGTCAGCGACCCTGACCACCCGATCCCGTTAGTCGCCTCTTATGACAAGCATAGTCGCCTCTTATGACAAGCATAGTCGCCTTTTACGGCAAGCATGGGTTGCTGAAGACCTATTCTATCTCAGATCTTCACGGCCTCATACTGGAGTATTGAGGGTATGAGCAAATTCTCTGAAACTAAATAAGCACCTGAAAATGAAATACACTACTTCGCTTTGTAAAGGGATACAGAAAAGTAATATTCCTACTATTAATATGTACATACTAGATGTAGTATGTCAACAGTCTGGTGGAATAATAGCGAGTGAGTATGGTTTAAGCAGTATTTCAGCACTATCACAGTGGGGGACTCCAGAAATGGGCTTCACTTGTACCCATGATGGCAATTGAACCTGGGTCATTGGCACGACCGCAGCGAACACTTGAACCATTAACTTACCCACCACCCCAGTGGAACAATAAGAAAATTCCCATCAAAGATAATTGGTATATGTGCTAAAAACCTTCGGAGACAGGTGCTTTGCTGGCTGAGATTGTACTGCTGTACTGCTGAGCCTGTGTCAAGGTCGGAAACAGGGCAGCAAATGGGTTGTCTGCGATGCTGTTGTCACCCATATTTCTTGTCAAAACTTCAATCTGGAAAGAGAGAAAAAAGCATTGACTTAGAAATATTGAGAAATTTTCAAACATGGGACTTCTCTTAACATAACCATATTAATGTTAGCATTTGGCATATAATCTCAAAAGAGGTTTCCTTGCTATCTTTGGCAGATGATATAGATGTCCTGAATGTGTGCATAGTGCAGTTAGGTTTGCTCAAACTTGATAAATATGCAAAAATGTGACTTTTTAGGCCTCAGCAAGTGATGACATGTGTGAGCAGAATCATAGTATCTGGTAAGCAGTCCTCTCATATCCAAGTAGTTTTCTACCCATGGTGTCATTTCGTAACCTTGTTTTGTATTGTTTGGTCATCTAGTATCCCTTCGTATGACAGTGTTATAAACTGATTTAGCTGCAAGTTCAACTATTTGGAATAAGGCTTTTTCAAGGACAGGAATTTCTCATTGTACCCGACAATTAATGTGGACCTAGTTAGTTACAGTTTTAGTAGAATATGCTTTTACTTACCATGCTAAGTGGTTCCAATAATACCTATCATGCCTCTGTGCAAGTGGATACTCTCAGTAACATATTTTAACACTGAAATTTGATTAGCTGCGGTAACCACATCACTGTGATACTCCCTATAAACGGTCTTGATATGGACTTATCCCTACACAGAGCCATGGGTGGGTGTATGTAAATTTGTAACACTAACGAATTCAAAGAGAAAATGAGAAATTTCATAGCCATAATCAAAAGTAATTTAATAACCCTATGCAATAAGCAATGAATTACACTATATAAAATATAAATTTAGATTTATAACCAATCATCATATGAAAATTTACGCATAGGGGCGATACTTTATTTGAACAAGAACTAGAGCATATGGGCTTTATCTGTTGACCCAAGCTAATCTCTGAGAAAACACCCTTTCAATTGACAATTACTGATGGGCTTCTTGATTCATGTAGCAGTTAAGAGGAGATTAGAGATGATTATTTGAAGGTACATGAAGTGATGATGATTTCATTTAATTACTTTGAACGATGTCTTTACGTCTCGTTTGAGATTTTGAAGTACGGATGCAGTAGCAAGCATGCACTTTAGTCTGATAAATGCGATGGCTAGCAAACAGACTATGCAGTGATTAAGCATTGATCGACGCAATTAGGATATTGGTTGTTGCTTTACTGTGATGTGTTTGATTATGTGTTGGTGATAGTTGTGTACATGTGTAGGTTGTCATGAATGTTAAAGAAAATGAATGGTTGACTTTAGAAATAATGCAAAGACTGTGTGGTGATAAATTTGTTTTATGAAATCTCAACAGTGTCAGTTATAAACATATATATATCATATATGACGTTTGGAAACCTAAAATCCCACAATAATATATTACCATTTAAACAAATATTTATAAATACAAAATAGGGTTACAGGCTTCTAGAGGTATGAAATCATTACGTGCTGTCCCACATAAGCCTAGTGTACAAAGATGTGGTTACTGCGCCTGGGACACGAAGTGACAAGGAACCTTTCCGTTTAGTGGTAGTTTGTACAACTAGGCCTAGCAATAGTAGTGTGTTTTGCACAGAATGAATAATGACTGGTATAACAGTGTAAATCGTACAACTATTAAGTTTAATTACAGCAGTGAATATTATGCATCACCACACATTTAGAAGCTAAATCATAAATATCCCGAATTATGTGGGATCATTTAGGTGAGTAGCAGAAATTTCCCGGCTGTTCCCTGATATATGATCGTGAATTTTAACACTACTGACTACAAATTGATAGCTAAGAAAAAACAGATGCAAACCTGTGGATGAAATTACAAAGTCGTCGCGAACATTGAGTTTATTAATATCGTAGCATCGCTTGCAAGTAATATCACTGGTTATCGTGGCATTACCGCAATGGGCCTCACAACAGCTGTTACATGGCAAAAGGAAGCGCGTCCGCTAAAAAATATAATTTCATTTACAAATGAATCCGAAGCGTTGTATAAGCATCTGGAAATAGTTGCATCTCATAGTGCGTATTTGCAACAAATTTTATTTACAAAAGTGCCACAAAAAGCTAATTCACATTCGTTCCGATATATTTTCTGTATTTTATATCCTTGCGCCATGCCGTTTCCTGTTTACAGCGGAAGAGGAAGCAAAAGTACTGTCATCTAGCGGTAAATTCAACACGAAATATTTGATGCCGTGGTTACATTCACCATGTCTAGGAATGTATCTGCACTTGATGTAACGCAAAACCCATGGTCATCATCTGACAAAACCACTCTAGCTCTACGCAACGTACTGTTCCTAGCCGAAAAAACGGGACACACAAGAAAGGTGAGCTGAAAAAGTATTTATTTACACTGCCATTGCAAGTAGCAACATGCTTCGGTATCAGTAAGTGATTTTTTTGGAAATGTAGAAACCGTGGAGACAAGGGAGTAGTGCATTATACTGGATGGGGGCGCACTCTTTCGGATGTCAATTAGCGCCATGTGGAGGGTCGAACTTACGTTGCGAACTTGCTATCTTGCAAGCACCTAAGCTTGGCGGGTTATAGCTAAAACGACACCTCAGCAAAACGTCACCAAGTGAAAACGGAACCGATTGGCGAAAACGTCACGTCGACTAAAGCGAAAACCATTCCTATTGCCTTGCAAAGACGGCACTATATATTTTCTTTCACGTTGGTACTGAAATAGATGAAATTAAACTCACATGCATGTGCAACTTGCAAACACAGATAATTGTGAAATTTTAATCGCCTTAAAACAAGTTTACATTTGAAATTAGGCTCTTATCCTATTTACTCGCTGATTACTTTTTGTGAAAATATCAAAATCAATGCTTTGAAGTTTTAAAGGGGCACTGATCTAACGGACTGGTTGTTGCCTTTGTTATTGTTTTTCCCCCGTGAGTACCCGGATGATACGCAACGCAACTGAGCGTGACCAGAGACTGGGGTATCGTCTGCAAGGACAGCTAAATAAACTTCAAGGCTGGAGGCAATATTTGTGTTACGCTTTTTTTAACACTGATTGGTTAACTGTGATCTATAAAGATTTCGACAAAGGGCGCATGTTAATTCATTTCTTCAGCCTAAACAAACAGACAAAAAGAACAAGGGAGCTCATCGGACGTCGTCATTTGGAAATACCCCAGATGGTTATAGTTTAATACTAAAAACAGTATCCATGCAGTGAAAGCATTTTCAGATTTCGGCTTGCGTGGATAATACGATTACTACTCCCTTGTTGTCATCCACGTTTTCTCGTATAACCCTACACTCGTGTATTTGTCGTCATTCAGTTAATGAATTTATTACAGGTACAATTAGTGGTAGCACCACTTATATTACCTGAAAAAGGTTCCCATTTGGCATTTATTGTGTCTGGGGTAATTATTCAATCTAAATCCAGGTTTGAAGTGAGGTGAAATGTGTGTTATGTAATATGCACGTGGCAGCCCAGCAAGAGATGAATGATCACTTGATTTACTTTTTTTTGTAAATCAACGAATCGTTCCTAGACATCAAAGGATTAACAGAAAATACGTTGATTGATTAATCACTGTTATCTTGCACAGTGGATATGTCAAGAGTGAGTGTTTACATGTCTAGGTTTACTAAAACAAAGGGAATACACTCATATCATGGCGCGAAGTGCCGATGTAAAAACAACATACTTTGTTCAAAGGGTTAACTGATAATACGTTGATTGATTGATCATTGTTATCTATCACTCAATGGAATTTTTAGGAACCGTGGACGCTATGAAAATAGTTGTCACGTGGGCTTTCTCAGCCGACCATTGAGACTTGACACCTATGTAAAACACCTGAAACAATCCAAGCGATCAGTTGAGAAACGAACACGGGTTATAATATCCCGAAACGATATATATCTTTTAAAATATTTGATTGTTACTGAGACACGTGACATCGAATAAGTTTCTTTGTACAGCTGCAGACGAGTGGGATATTGTTCCTTTGTGTGGATATTCACGGATACATTCCTCGAACAAGGAAGCTGTCTAAAACTTATACACATAAATTTGGTAGGTTGTAATTATGATATCTGCATTTTGTTTTCCTTCATTTGAACCGATTCGTTCTTGTTTCTTTACGTCTTGGTTGGGAAATTCTTCAATGCGCGATAGACGTTGTTGTCACAGGTCTTTTCCTTTGAAAGCGTGTATATATTACCGTCAATTTGTAAAATGTGATTCTCTCAGGCAATTTATAAAATGTGTAAATATTTCAGTCATTTTGGCTAAAAAATCTGTCCAGATTGATCAAGACGATCAAAAGAGCCTACAAACATCACAACAGATTATTATGTAGGATTAAAAGCCAAACAACTTAGAAATGTACTTTTCAACGTTACATTTTCAGTCTCTTGGTGATGACATTAAACATCAAAATGTTTGGAATTCGTTGTCATAATAATGCAGATGGAAATGTTTTTCAGTCACTTTGTAAAATAACTGAATATTTAGACGTTTAATAAATTTGTTACACATTTGACAGTAAAAAAATATACACACTATAAAAAAGCATATGCTCAGGTGAAATATATACTTTGTGTTGCAAGTCAAAATAGTGTAAACGAAAATCGCAAAATTACCAAGCAAGTGACTTATCAAAACTTCGTCACCATTACCGATGCTACTCACAAAGATACCTACATTTCCTTATTATCTCGAAAACTGTATTTCATTTTGTTGATCAATGTGACCTTACGCCCTTATTACTACCCATAAAAGTGACTAATGCGCTTACGAATGGCGCAGCAGAGGTCGCGAACTAGTCTAGATTTCTGCTATACATCCGGGTATTCACTGGGAAAAAACAATAACAAAGGCAACAACCAGTCCCGGGGAATTGCGTTAGATCAGTGCCCCTTTAAGTACCTTTACTCAAATTAACTCTGTGTCAAGCTGAAACTCTAAAAGGCCTAATGTGGTGCTGTCAGATCACAATTAAGGAAGGGAAACACCACCACTACTACAACATAATATAATAGGGCATTTAAATAAAGAATATTTACAACTACATAAATCGTTCTTATCATTATTAAAAATAGAGGTGGCGTTTTCGCCAGACAAATAGTAGCAGTTTATGCCAATTGAGGTGCTGTTTTCGCCCGAGAAATCAGTGACGTTTTGCTGAGGTGCCGCTTTAGCCTGCAACCAGTTTGGCTAATGAGTTAATCCAATTAGCCAACACTTTTCCACGGGATCACGGCCGCTATCACAAATATTTAATGCTTGTTTACCAAGTGATGACACAGGTGGGTTCTTTGATAGGAAAGGGGTACCAAACCCAAATTCTTTCAATGCGAAATACCACGTCGAGATTTTCATAACATTTCATCCTCCCAAAATTTGGAGTACCTTTTTGATTACCTCTTTGCCAATACCTTTTGCATTAAACATGTTAAAAGGAAACAACACTCCAACTCTCAGTTATCTAGCCGGTGCCATTTTAATTTGCCAGTGTAATCAATCACCAGATGCCATTTGGCATCAGCGACCCAACAAACTGGCCTTTGGACTAGCGATAGGCCAATTGGAGGTCCTCATTGACAGCAAGGGGGAAATTCCCTTGAATCCTGGCATGTGATTGGATGATGCTTACTATAACCTTTCACCTTGCAAATTTGTCTGACGTGTGTAAATATGTATGTACAATTATGTAGTTTCGTATACAATAAATATGTGTTCGTATTATATTTTCATCAATGAAGTTCAGTTCATGTTCATGAGTAGGAAGATGAAGAGAACACAAATTTGAATAACTATCATCTTTAACCTTTATCTACCGACACAGAAATGTCAGTTGGTAGGTATAGATTAGAATTCATAAAAAATATTACACACTAATGGTACTGGGCTATCCTATATATATAGCTGTACAATAATCTATTTCGTAATCCATGAATCAAGGTGACGTCACATTTTGTGTACACATGAATGGATGATGAATGCAAATGGCTTCAGTCATGTGTGGAATATTTGTCGTTTTCTTAGAGTTGAATAGATGAATATCAGTGAGCATGGTGAGTATACAAAATGAAATCAAACATTTAAACCACAAATTTCTGTGCTCTTTCCTTATTCCCATGAATCAAGCTTACACGAGGGTACTCAAAACAGCAAGAACCCTTATTTTTCAGGCAAATTGCATACAATACTACTCCCTTCTTGTCATCCATGTTCTGTGGCATAACCCTACACCAGTGAATTTGTTGTCATTCACTAAACATGCTAGATGCTCAGTTAATGACCTTTTAATTTTGCTGGTATAATCTGTGGTAGAACCACTCAGATTATTCTGACAAAAACTATGCAAAATAACTCAATAATCTTCACCTCCACCTCTGGGGATATGCTGACATGTGTCAACCAAGTCAGCGAGCCTGACCAGCCAATGCTGTTAGTCGCTCCTTACGACAAGCATAGTCGCCATTTACAGCCATCATGGCTTGCTGAAGACCTATTCTACCCCGTATCTGCACATGCTTTGTATTTCATTTGCTGATGGCCCAGTGGTCACACCTGGACTCCCTGATGGCAGATCTGCATACAAAATAAGACAAGATACACTTTTTCCATGCTTTTTAAAGGTATCCACAACTAGTAAGAGTACACTGCACTTCTTCCTTGCATGCCACTGCATGACTAGCTGATTCTGCTATCTGTAAAATTAGATTGTTAGCATGTCTGGTGAAAAGAATTTCTGGTTTGATTTTCTTCGATTATTGTAGTTGCATTGACCATGTTGACCTTCCATGAAGCATCTTCCCGAGGCAAGAGGGTTAACTGACTTTAGAAGTCCAGTTTCCACCCTTGCCGAACTAGGCTGGAATTCCTTGGCTTGATCGTAGCGCCACCAGTGGCTATTACGAGTTATGTCCCTTCTATGCCTCTCCTATGGACCAATCAGATTCCACCTCTTGTATCACTTGCATTTTCTTCAAACAAAACGGCGCACCCAGTCAAGACGATCTGATCGATAATCAAGATCTATATATTGTGATAAAACGAGTCTTACATCGCGAAGTGCATCAAATCACGTGAGCACCTTGATTAAAAACATTAAAAGATTTAGAAAATATCTGTTGACGACTAGTTGTCGATGCACATGCTTTGCAAATCCTCCAATCGACCGATATCTGCATGACAGTTTACGAACCAGATTGCAATTTGGGAGTGCGATTTTGATTGGACTATGTATTGACTAGTTAGTCAAGCCAAAATGTAATTCCATAATACCAGCCTTGTTCGGCAAGGGTGGAAACTGGACTTGTATAGTCAGTTAACTCACTAGCTTCGGGTAGATGTCCATGAAGGTGCTGTCAGATCTTCACTCTGAGAGGTCTTGTGTAGGAATTCAAGATCTGATTTTAATGAGATTGACTCAAAAAGTTTATGTGAAGTACATGGAGCAGTTTGATTGGTTGATTGGTGTATGCAATGTGTTTGGCTAATACAATCAGGTGAAATAATTTCAGTAATGTCCTTGATTCGTTGATGATTTCAGAGGAGGGGGTATGAAAAAGGTCCAAGTGAGGAGGATCAACAAGAGCTGCCATCTCTCAAGCTCATAGCATTGCAAAGGGAGATAACCAAGAAGAAGAGGGAGCTTCAGAAGGTGGGAGTCTTCCTGTGTCCCGGGATATATAGGATTCCAGACTTAGTGCATTGAGCATTCTAGGCAGACAACTGGTTTTAAAATTGGGACTTGTCTTTAAGTTTTTATTTTCCTAAATTGAGAGAAATTTTAACCATGTTAACATTGTATTTTAACATTCAAAGAGTGAGTGAGTGAGTTGGGTTTAACATCGCTTTTAACAGTATTACAGTTATATTCCCGGGTGTCAGCTTAATGTGGTAGGAAAGCCCGAAGTGATGCAGGTCTGAGATGTTAACACTTCGGTGAAACCCAGAGCATGGGTATGGTGCTGACAAATCTAGAAACATAATCGGGGGAATCGGGATTTTCAATCATAGGTTTCTGGCGGGCCCAAGGGACGCAACTCTGCACAGCAACTCACAGCGCCTTAGACGACAGGGCTAACTGTGCCCCCAACATTCTAAGAAATAATGTAAAAATACGCCTGAAAGTCTTCCTCTTTATCATGTTTACTGGTCATGTTATCAGTGAAATACATGTCATTTCTATCAAGCCATAACCATAATAATGTATGTTAAAACTATATTATAACAAGTCGCTGATGGCATCAGTCAAGTTGGTGTAGCTGTAAATAATAACTATAGTAACCATGGTAATATCAATTGGGAATTGGGATATGATTACATGCATGAACCAAGTCAACGAACCTGACCACCTGATCCCGTTAGTCGCCTCCAAGACAAGAATGGGTTGCTGAAGAGCTATTCTAAACCGGATCTTCCCGGGTCTTTTCAACTTCTAGCAAAATTGCAGTTGACTTTTTTTTGTTGTTGTCATGTTTGCTCCCTGCTAAGAAGCTAGACTTCTGTAATGACTTTGTACATAATCATGATAATGATAAACCTTTTTGCATGTGATGGCCATAGAAATTAATCATGTTGATAGAAAATGATGATTTTGTTTGAGAATTATACACTAACAAGACATGGTTAAAAGAAAGGATATTTTTCATGAGTGTTTGTTGCCATTACAGTCACCATCAATGTTAGAATCAGATGAACATAATCCAATGACTTTCAGGTGAATCTGGAGTTGCAGTGCCGAGTCCAGGACAAGGAGACAGCTGACATCACACACATAGACATCCTGAGTAAGTACATACACAGAGGGATGCTTACTTCTGAGGATGCTAAATATAGCAGCCCACTCAATTCCAGTCATCATGGACCTGTGAAGATCTGGTTTACAATTGATCTTCAGCAACCCATGCTTGTCGTAAGAGGCGGCTAACGGGATTGGGTGGTCAGGCTCGCTGACTTGGTTGATGCATGATATCGTATCCCAATTGGGTTTATCAATGCTCATGATGTCAGTCACTGGATTGTCTGGTCCAGATTCAGTTATTTACAGTCCGCTGTCAAGTAGCTGGAATATTGCAGAAACAATTGCTGTTAGACAACAAACAAACAAACAAATAAACAAAACTGTCATGATGGTGATGAGAGAGAGACATTCAGTGCAAAGGTACTGAATTGATTGACAGCGTGTCCTTGTACCATAACCCATAACAGTTTGGATCATTGATTACAGTATTGATCATTGGATAGTCTGGTCCAGTTTTGGTTATTTCAAGGCTGCCATCTTATCGCTGGAACTATTATTATTTGGGTGTTCGTGAAAGGGAGATAATTCTTGATGGTCTTGATCTCATCGATACAGGGAAGCACCAATAGCCTGTTTAGTTATCAACTACTGCTGCAAGCAACACTAGGCAGTATGGAAGTCAAGCCATCTGTTACCTGGGATGTCATGTCTGTGTAATATTGATTAGAAAGAGTTCAAAACATTCATATAAATATTATGATCATGTTGGTTCTGAAATACGTATGTCATGTTTATTGCACAATCCATCTTCATACATATAGTTGTACAGTGGAGTCAGTCATGGGTTTGAACATGAGCATATGCATAACCATGTGTTGAGTTAGCTACCAGGGTAACTGCAAATATATTGCTTCATTTGGTTAGATTTGTTCTGGTAATTATTACTTCTTTGGTATTTTGTCAATGTTGTTGAAGTCATCTGGCATCAGGAAGTGATGATGTCCATAAAAGTTTCACATTTTTGTCTTCTCTGAAAAGGCCTAGTCATTGTTGATGGATTCAACTAAAATTTTGTGTGGATGTTTGTTACTATAAAGGAGTTCAATTTTGTTCAAGGCATAAGAATTAGAATTTAGATATGGCAGCCCGGTTGCCATCTTTGATAAAAAACAAGAAAATTCGTAAATGTTCTTCTGATGTAAAGGGCCAGAGACCAAAAACTAGGTGGTGATATTATCATTTTATAAAGGACCAACTTTGTTCAAGAGATATTGCTAGGACATAAAAAAATGGCCATATTAGAAACTACAAAAAAATATTGAGTCTTCCGTCGTAACCATCTTCTCGTCAGAAACCACATGACCAATGAAGTTGAAACTTCACATGCTTGTTCCTAAACCAAAGATGACATCTGAGTTTGAGGTTTGAATCAGATTTTAAGTATGGCCGCCACAGCAGCCATATTAACTTTGTGGCTGTTGTGGTGGGGAAGAGTTCCAGGGTATAATATTAAATTATTCAACAAGTTTAAAGAAACATTTTCACGAATCATGTGGATGCGTCATGTTGCTTGACAGTAATGATAGAACAATGTCATCAAGGATATGTTAGCAAGCTCCTCACAGCAATAGCCCATTCGCGGAGCTCTCTATATTATTGCTGCCACCAGTCAAAGCTCCCCATTGTGATAAGTGGCTACAACCATGCTTGGAGTTGAACTTGAAACCAACTGACCGTTATGTTTACAAACAAGTGATGACAGCCGTGACACTGAATACTCTTACCTCTGCTAAATTGTTTTCTTTGTTTGTCAATTTGAATTTCTATTTCATTTCAACTATCATGTAATTGATATAGAAAGAGTGTACAGGTGTAAGGGAGAGGTTCGTTCGTCTGCAATCCTGAACCAATCTGATCAAACAAACGAAAAGTTAAATTCATCAAGGAAATCTGGTCAGTCGTAAACCTTTTAAAATTTCACAATGATGGCATTCCCCAAGACATAAATAGAAGTGTAAACATGACTACATTTGGGGTTAGAGGGCAAATTTCAAGATTCTTGTAATGGATGTGCCCACAGTGAATTTAGGTAATTTAAACAGTGTCATGACATCAGCCCATTATGATCTTTAAGTGAAGCATCTCAGAATCGTTCATACTTTTTTCCTTAGTATTTATGCAGAACATATTTGAATAGCAATACTGATACTGATAGTAACTGTTTTTGAATGCGTGTCTTTGTTGCCATTTTAAACTGTTGACTAGGTGATCTACCTTGCTGTGACATTATTTTTTGGGATTCGATGTTTCATGATGATAAAATGAAATAAATGTAGTTAACATTTATTTGTATTTGCTGAAATTGGTTACCTTTGATCGTGTGGTAGTTGGGCTAAAAATAGATCGTAAATTATCGGGTAGTATGGCGGCAAGTTTAAGTTTCATGTACAGTACGGGTTGTAAGTTATAGGGCTTTGTAGTGCTTCAGCAGGGCTGGTGGAAGTCGTTATCTTGTAGTCAGTTAATCTATTTATTACTCACGTTTGGCAGTAAAATTCCATTGGAATTCCCTGTGACGGTTGCGAGGTCCGCATGTCTTCCTGCCGTAGCGTGTTTCCGGTTCGATAGGTGGCGCCGAGCACGCTATGTTAGGAATTATCATTTGACCAATGAGAAGCTTAGAAGATTGTATGACCCGTGACCTATGAATATGGTTAGCTCTGTGGGTATAAAAGCCTGATACGACCGAGATTAGTTGTCTGAAGTTTCGGTTATCCCGACAAGTAAGTCCACAACACCCACTATGGGGGAACATCCCTCTAGGCAATAAGGATTTCCTTACGACTAGTTTTAGGTGTAGGTTTAGTTTATGTGATAGTCGGGTGGGGGAGAAGTAGTTGTAGGAAAAACATGTAGAAATAAGGATTTAGATAGATTGGAGAGTAAGAAATAAGTTAAAATGTAGGTTTTGTAAGGTATTTATTTAGTATACTTATTGGAATAGTGGTGTGGGGGAGAAGTAGGTGTAGGAGAAAATAGGCAGTAAATTAGGCAATTAACAATAAAGACATTTAGGTTAAAAGTAAAAGTTTACCTGTGTGTGAGTGCTTTCTTTTTGTATTTTTCTGATTTCTGTTAATTTGTGCATTTTTTAAGTTTAATAAATCATTTAAATTATGATTTTGTCTTAGTTTTGTTTTAGCAAAGTTGAGAACCTGACCAACCATAGAACCTCGAGAGAGTACACTGTTCATGACTGATCACAGGAGAACACAACGCAAAGTCCGAAATTATATGAACAGGGTTCGAACTTAGTACTCTCCGATTACAATCCTGTCACTGGGCAGCCCGCCAGAGGGCGCCTATTACAATCGAAAGACATGAAACAAAAGATCTAACAAAGAAAAACTGTTAACTTTATTAGTAGAAATTGATGAAATTCATTATGTATATTTTCTGCTGATGCGGAAAACCCATAAGGATAACATGGCCTCCATAGCATGTTTGGGGTGGTGGGGTAGTCTAGTGGTTAAAGCGTTCGCTCGTCACACCGAAGACCCGGGTTCGATACCCCACATGAGTACAATATGTGAAGCCCATATACAGTGTCCCCCGCCGTGATTTTGCTGGAATATTGCTAAAAGCGGCGTAAAACCTCACTCACTCACTCACTCACTCACTCACTCAAAACCCACCCAAAACCCACCTATAGCATGTTTTTGAGTGAGTGAGTGAGTTTGGTTTTATGTCACTTTTAGCAATATTCCAGCAAGATCATGAAGGGTATCAGTAGAAGTTGGCTTCACAGATTGGACCCTGTGGGGAATTGACCCATGGCCTTCGCTACCCCACTGCCCAGAGTACGTTTGTGTTCATTCTACAGTAAAAACATTGTAAACTATATCATGATTATATATGCAAACAGCCGAAAGAAATGCGAACCATAGAAACATATAGAGAAGTATATACGTTAAGAAGAGATTTTTCTAATGTGCACCACTTAATGACAAAACTAACAATCAGTCAAGTGTTACCACAGTGTCTTTATTCTTGTCACGATATGCTGCACGTGATTTCTAAACTTTACACGCTAATCCTGCGCGAGACAAATGGTTCATCTCGAGTCATGGATCTATGATGTCATATATGATGCGTCCATGAGCGTCAGTTCACGCAACGTAAGGGGGCACGGGTGGCCCAGTCGTCTAAGCCGCCGCGATTCGCTGTGCAGAGTTGCGTCCCTTGGGCATGCCAGAAACCTATGATTGTGGGTTTGAATCCCGGTTCGCCCCAATTATGTTTCTAGGTTTGTCAGCACCATACCCGTGCTCGTGGGTTTCACCGAAGTGGTAAACGCCTGAAACCTGCATCACTTTGGGCTTTCCTCCCACATTAAGCTGACACGCCGCGATATGACTGGAATACTGTTAAAAGCGGCGTTAAACCCAACTCACTCACGCAACATAAAAGTATGTTTGTTTGTGCATTGAACCAGCCTCATATCTCTTGAATATGAATAAGTCTCCAAATATTAACCAACATGCATGGTATTTGCATTTCTTTTGGCAGTGAGTATACAAGCCTTCCAGATCTCTCCGTTCTCAGAATAACCACCTGTTACAAGTCCCAGAAACCCGTCTCAAAACCTTCGGTCAGAGATCTTTCCAGTTCTGCGCTTCCTTGCTATGGAACAAACTACCATCCGATCTTAAGCTGTCGCCATCGCTTTTATCCTTTAAGGCTCATCTGAAAACACACCTTTTCAGACAACACTATCAACTCGACTCCCCTTTCATTAGAATTATTTGCTAAAACTATGTAGCGCCATGAGCATTAACTTGGTAAATGGAATCTGGCGCAGTATAAATGGACTTGTTATGTTATAGTATGAACACATTTATCGTTTTCAACTAAACTGACCGATTCAGAATGTTTATCCTAAGGCCGCACTTTTTTAAATTGTTTTATAGATTTTGTACAGGAAAATATCTTTTGGTAGGTGCTTGGGTGAAGGAAACTATTGAATATATTTTTTTCAGTGCCCCTACAGGTCGACTGGTATAGAAAGATTTAATGATTTAATGTCGAAACACAGCTGTGGCTTTAAAAACCGGACAAATTAAGCGGGACACTGTTATGCATCTATGCGTCATATCAATTTCAGGGACAACAACAAACTATATTTTGACCCCCATGTTAAATATATGTCAACTTCAGAGGGTCCTTGTTTAATGGGACGGTCAGGTAGCCTAGTGGTTAAAGTGATCGCTTGTCACGCAGAAGACCTGGGTTCGATTCCTGACATGGGTAAAATGTGGGAAGCCCATTTCAGGTGTGCCCCACCGTGATATTGCTGGAATATTGCTATTGCACTCACTCCTTGTTTATCATGTTTAGAAATATTTCTTTTGTGCAGTATCGACATATCGGGAGGTTAATGAAATGAACTAAGTCTGAATATTTCATTTCCATTTCATCAAAATATTTACAGTCGGCTGATCCGTGAAGCAAGTAAATTAAAAAATCCTTAATATAAAATAATATTTAACAAAACAAAGTTATTTTTATTTCTATCAACCCAACTATTCATACTAATTATACAGCATGTGTTGCCTGAAGAGATGGTATATGTATGTGTGTGTTCCCTTGTATGTGTAGGGGCGGTCGGGTAGCCTAGTGGTTAAAGCGTTCGCTCGTCACGCCGAAAACCCGGGTTCGATTCCCGACATGGGTACAATGTGTGATGCCCATATCTGGTGTCCCCCGCCGTGATATTGCTGGAATATTGCTAAAAGCGGCGTAAAACCATACTCACTCACTCACCTTGTATGTGTATCTAAGCAAGATGATGGCAACCAGTTTGATGCATTAATTAATTGAAGGCTGTTCCATGCATCCTGGTTTGGTTTGGCCTTTGTCACTGATAATGATTGATTGTGTTCACAGGTCCATCCCAGCCATTACCAAATGTTACTGATGCCTTTTTATGTACATGTACTTAATTAACATTTAGTTTATTGAGACCATCTGTTACCTTGTTGTCAATAAGCAGCTCACATATAGAGCTCACTGCTTGTCCATTGTGTGTCGTCGTCATTTTAATTTTTTCCTCAGAAACCACAGGACTTAATTTAATTAATGAAGCTGAAATTTCACATGCATTATCCCACCTTAATTTGTTCAAAAGGTTCAAATCCAAATTTCAATATGGCCTCTGTGGCAGCCATTTTGAAAAGTTGTTTTATGACCACAACATGGCAATTTATACTCAAAATTCATGTAAATTTGTAAATGTGTAGTTAAACACATCCATAGTAACAAGAAATAAAATGTGCCGTCTGTTTTTGCAAATTGGTTTCTCCGTTGCCTCGCCCATCTTTCTTAATGAACAGAAATTGTGATGGGGCTAATGATCAAAGATATGTATAAATACAGAAAAGAAAATTACAATCAAGCCTCGTTGTGTTGAACTGTTTTGAGTCAAATGAAGCTGAATGCCAATTGCTGCTCGCTGGGAGATTCATTCTTTCTTCATCCTTATTTGTCCACTAATGAGATGATTGGATGTGCCAGTTTTGTAGTTGGGGCAAAATACTATTGGGGCCTAAATGATTTTTTTCTGGTGTACATATGCATTGACAATTCACATTTGATTGAAACTAATATGAAACTTTAGATGCCTAAATTGATTTTAAATGATCTAATCACAATTTTTTTAATTATTTCACCATGAATAGCCTTGTCAGTGACACTTAAGATGTCTCCTTTCATTTGCTGCTCACTTCAAACAAGACTTGAAAGCTGTTCACATGTCTGCATTAATAGTAATTAACTTTTTCTGAGATAGGTATTTTTATGATCGGAATGGTTTAATCAAGTGTCCAGGGAAAATAGAAGCAGGTTACTGTGCATTCTATTGTGTGCTGTGAAGAAACTTGGTGCAAAATTAACACGTTACTGTAGAGGAAATTCGGGTATTCATGGTAATCACTCACTTTGTTCACAGATTTTCATCATGTTCATAAAAGTATGATTATTCGTATTCAAATTTAAAAAAATATTTTAACCACAGATACTGCAGTATTTTTCTGAAGAAAACATTAATTTCTATGTTTGTTTGCATATTTTTGAGCAAATCCGAAATGGATCATTATGCACACATTTTATTATTATTTCATTTTTAAGCGTCTAATATCCAACCAGTGCTGCTCAGTGGTACTGTCACATATGATTACCCCTGTTTTTGGATCAGTGTGCACCTGATGTTCATTCTCAGCTCCCTGGGGAGTATACAACCCAAGCTGCCTGTGTGGTGCTAGAAGGTTAACAGACACATTACCATCTGATCCTACCGGGCACCCATTCACTGCTTTGTGAATGGAGGCATATTTACGAACACTGTCACTTGCCTTAGGTGACACCACATGTCTCTCACCCTAGAACTTCACCTGATTTGCAACCCCTGCCCTGTGCACGGGACCATGCACTACCACAATTTCCTTCAATTTCTAATGTGCAGTGACATTCCATTGAGGATGTCTTAGGGACCGACAAATTGATATTCTGTTGCTCATGGGAATTTCTTGAAAAAAATAAATTGTCCCCAAAAGTTCTTTAAAAAAATTAAGATTATGCTTATTAAAATTGCCTGCTACAAAAATTACGCTTTAAAAAAAGTCAGACTCATAGTTTTAAATAAAAAAAACCAATCTAATTTCTGGTGCTATCACAGGAATGTTGCTAAAAGCAGTCAAACAGCACACTGACTATCTCAATCTATAGGTCCTTCAAGGACTCCTACCCTGTATAGACCTGGGTTAGAATTGGTCTTCAGCAACCCGTGTTTGTCGTAAGAGACTATTAATGGGATTGGATGGTCAGGCCATCTGGCATGGTTGGTGCATGTCATTGTATCCCAACTGCGTCGAAGCTCATGATGTCAATTGCTGGATTGTCTGGTCCCAATCTCATTGAAATCAGATCTTATTTCTCGCTACTGCTCAACAAAGATCTGAGGACATCCCATTACGGGTCATGTCAGAACGACCTTTCATCTGACCAATCAGAGCATCGCTTATCAGAGGATGAAAGTGACAGTAGGAATGTGATTTTTGATCGTGCAACCTTGAAAAAACCCACACAGGGTATTCCGAATGACAGTTATGGGCTTTATGTCTATAATCAAACAGTAGGAATGTGATTTTTGATCGTGCAACCTTGAAAAAAACCACACAGGGTATTCCGAATGACAGTTATGGGCTTTATGTCTATAATCAAACAATCTAGATCATATATTAGATATTCCAGAATGTTATTTTGTTCAGTTTTTACTTTTTTAATCGAGTATATGTCAAAATTTGTTTCGAAGCATGGTTGCAAGTTTGAAACTTGTGCCGTAAAGCTTGATTAAGCTGCCTTCTGATTGGCTATTGTCGACTTCTTGTTAGTCATTCCATTGGTCAGTCAAAGTTCGCGAAAGGTCGGTCTGACGTGACCCATAATGGGATGTACTCAAATCTTTGTTTACCGAAAGCGAGAACTGAGATCTGATTTTAATGAGATTGGTCAGGTCCAGACTGGATTTCCTGACTGGTGTCAGACTACAAAAAAACCAAAACAACTTATTAAAACCAAAATTGTATAATGGATAATAAATTCACAAAATTATTTATTTATGATAGGGTATACATTCATCTCCCTGTGTGCCAGATTGGGTTTGGGTTACAAATAAAGAATAACCTTTTAGCTTAGAGGATATACTAGGTACATTGCATAATCTTTAGCCTTTAGTCCAAAACAGGAATATTTGAGATTAAATAATATTATAATCTCATTAAATCATATCATAGTTCTCACTACCGATTAACAAAGATCAGAGCACATCCCATTACAGAATGAGGTCCGAACAACATTTTGCGAACTTTGACAAACCAATGATTTCACTAAGAAGAAGTTGACATTGGCCAAGCGGAAAGCAGCTATAGAAATATTGGTTCCAAATTTGAAAACTGAACAAAAGAAAATTCTAATGGCTGGCTAAGATTTTATCGCAGTACTTTCTATGGAAATTCTCTCTTTTTTCAAATGTTTATCCGATTGAAGCTAGAGATAGTTGGAATCAGTTGTACTGTCATTCAGAATACCCCGTTTTGACCTTTTCAAGGTTACAAGATTAAAAAACACATTCCGACTGTCATTTTCCCGCTTTTGTGAAAGACACTCTGATTGGTCGGATGAAAGGTCATTCTGACTTGACCCTTATTGGGAAGTCCTCAGGACTTTGTTAAGAGGCAGAGAGAACTAATATTGAGATTGATTGTATTTCCTGAGGGTCTGTAATTCGGAATTGTGTGTTGGTTATTCTGTATTATACTCGCAGTCTATTATTCTGAGAAAATGAAGCAAAACTGAGTTTCGCAATCTCAAGTGACCAGTCAATCTGTTGTTGAAACCATGTGACAATGCCAACTGACGTTGTGAACAATGGACAACACAAATGCATTGATATCTATTCAATTATTACAGAGAACAAAGTCGAGAAAATCCAGAAGCTGAATGCTCACATAGAATCTATCATGGAGAAGAAAGATCAACTGACAGGTCGACTTCAGCAGCCATTTGTGGGCGACTACATCAAGATGGATGCTGCATTCCACAAGTATGGGCTCAACTTTCTGAAAATATACCTCTTCATAAAGGTTCAAAGCCGAATTACATTGATATGCCACATAGACTCTTTTAAATATATAATGTCAACGCCAGAGAATAACAGTCTTGAGTCTCCAAGGAAACAGATTCTAATGGGTGTAAAAGGCAAAACAGCAGTGAAAATTATATGAATGGATCACTGATGTGATGACACCATATCTTTGCTAATAGGGTAAGCATGTACTGCCATACACAAATTTGCAAAAGAAAATATGTGTTGTTACCTGACTCTCATCTTCCCCGAGGCAAAGGAGTTAACTGACTATAAAAGTCCAGTTTCCACCCTTGCTGAATTAGCTAGATTTTCCCAGTCAATATGATCTTATCGATAAACAAGATCTTTATTGTAATAAAATTGGTCTTACCTCACGAGGTGCATCAAATCACTTGAGCACCTTGATTTAAAACATGAAAAGATTTGCAAAATATCTGTCGATGCCCATTTGGTGATACACATCCAATGCAAATCCTGCAGTCAACTGAACTCTGCACTTTGAAATCCATGTTGTTTACGAACTGTATGTCTAGTTTGTTACACGATTTTAATTGGACTATGCATAGACTCATTAGACCAGCCAAAATGTAACTCAGGAATTCCAGCCTAGTTCGGCAAGGGTGGAAACTGAACTTTTATAGTCAGTTTACGCCCTTGCCTCAAGAAGATGCCTGACACTGCACAGCAGAACTACTGCCATGCAATGGTGGTTTGTAAACACGCCAGACAATCAAGTGATAGACCTGAAATCCAGTCACATGATAGACATTATTCAATTATGAATTTATTTTTCGTACTACAATAAACTACGGTTATAACGAACTCAAAGGGACCATTTATTTTAGTTTGTTATATCGGTAGTTTGTAATAAGCATTTCGACTGTCACAATGTTCTTAAAACACCTTGGTTTTCCGGATTTACCAATCACTGAAAGTTTACTGAAAATACTGAATTTCCTCACTCTAGTCGTCGCATTTTATACACAGAATATATCCATTTCAAAGGCCATAGCCTAATCACTGTGTTGGTATTGTTAATTTAGTTTGTAATTTGAGGACAAAGTGTCAGTACAGAGTAAATCAATTGCCTTCAATTGTTTATTTTCGCTTTGAAAACCCGCATGTCGCCACAGATATTTTGATAGGCAGATTGGTGACATGTGAGCAGCTCAGCTCAGGGATTAACAGTTCTGTATAAACTTGAACATTATCATAGACAGAGTAGACACAGGACCACATTGTGAGTTCGCTATATCCGTTATTTCGTTCTAAGCGTGTTCGTTATATCAATCAATATTATATGATAAAATATACAGGAAATAGCCGGGACCAAACAAAGAGTTTGATGTAACTGTCAGTTCGTTAGTAGTTTACTGTGCTTGATTTATAAGTACAGTGGAGAAGTTATGGACTATCACTGGTACAATAAACATACCAGAAGATTCCTAATTTGCATTTCATCTCTACTGTCATGCTGTTGTATTTAAGAAATCTTTCATTATGACATATATCAGGTAAATCTACCTTGTTCACAGGAATGGACACCATCAGTTCATTCTCATGGGTCAATACATCTTTTCAGATAAGTAATTAAAAAACTACAGGAGAAAACAAGTAGTCCTTCATAAGTTTCTAGTTTTGTAGGATTAGCAGACTAGTGGATGTGTTTAAAAATACTTCAGGATCATTGATGGTGTTTGATTTTTGATGAGAGAAAATGCTGGTATTGTTATTCAGAGATTGGAATGCCAATGCTGGTGATGTTTAGATGTGTTTGATATATTCCAGATACGCCAGTGAGCTGTTCCCGCAGATTGCTCCTATCCTTGGAGATCTCAACTACAACCTTGACAACATCAATTGGACGAAGAGAACGAACTTCTCTGAGGGAAAGATGGTTAGTCATTACCTAAAAGGTTGATAGTGGTAGAACAAATCCTGTCTTGGCACCAGCATCTTTGTTCTAGATTACCAGGACACCTTGTATAAGATTCATAGTAACTATGCATCAAGATGGGTTTCATATCGGACACATTGATGTAGTACAGATTTCCAATGCTCTGGCGAATCTGCTGAATGTAATAAATATTAAACTGTATCTTCTTGTGGGAGCCATCAACTGCATTCATGTACAGTGCTCTTTATTTTGTATCACAGTAGGATATTTTAATAGCACAACTGTCATGCCCTTTCTAACATACTTGGTATCTCCTTGCAGGACATTCTGATGTGCAGATGTCCAATATGCTTCTAACTTATTCTTTTTGTATTTTTTCATGACATTCACATATGTTCAGTGCTCTTTCCAACTTCCTCCACAACTCTTAATTTGTCCTGTAGTACACCCCTATAGCAGAGAGATCAAGTGTTGTTTCAAATCTGCTTCTGACTTTATACTTTTTAATGTCTTGGAGGACACCTTGACAGAACAGATATCCAATGCCCTTTCCAAACTGCTTCTCAACTCTAAACTCTTTAGTTCCTTTAAGAACACCATATAGCACAGGTGTCCAGTGCTCTTTCAAGCATGCCTCTGACTTTATACTCTGTATTGTCTTGTAGGACACCCTGATAGCACAGATGTCCAATGCCCTGGCTGACATGCGCCTCCAGTACAATGCTCTGGTACAGATGCGGGGGAGCATCAATGACATTCGAAGACACAGAATCTCTCACCTGGAAGCATCTGTAGCAGACTGATGGCAACAAGACTAGGTGGTCAAGGAAGACCAGATGTTCAATAAGTGTTCCTATAAGGATACCTTCAGTGGGAATAAAGCTGAACAGTACATGAGTAACTGATGCTGCATCTGTGTGGAAGATGGTCCTGTGAAGGATGGATGATTCTTCAAATGTGTGGAGCCTTTCATTCATCATGAAATCACGGAACTGTTAAGAACAGGGATAATACAATTCAACTTTAAAGGATGAAGATGTTTCCTATTTGCTTGTATGGACTTCCTGCTTAATAAACTATTTTTCTGTCACAAGACTGTATTGTTTTATATACCATATTCATCATTAGGAGATCATGGCCAGCAAATGTTTGTTGTATAAGTTATTTTTGTAGACACCCATATTGAAATAATAGCTTAAACATTGGAGTCCCAATAAATATGCTACAAGCCCAATAGCTTCTGAAACATCTCTCACTTTCACAGCAGCAATGAAACCTTTAAGAAACTATTAATAAAACTTTAAACATATAAAACTCCAATGAAGGGGCATTGTAATAGAAATGTCTCTGTTTCAAGATATGATGCAGAGTGTAAAGAAAAAGGACAGATAATTCACACACATTGTAAATTATCAAAGATGCAGCCAAGTGTTCATGAAATGGGTGAGCATTGTCTCCCTTCCGGTAGCTGCAAGCACCAAGGTGAATGAAATGGGTGAGCATTGTCTGCCTTCCGGTAGCTGCAAGCACCAAGGTGAATGAAATGGGTGAGCGTTGTCTGCCTTCCGGTAGCTGCAAGCACCAAGGTGAATGAAATGGGTGAGCGTTGTCTGCCTTCCGGTAGCTGCAAGCTCCAAGGTGAATGAAATGGGTGAGCATTGTCTCCCTTCCGGTAGCTGCAAGCACCAAGGTGAATGAAATGGGTGAGCATTGTCTCCCTTCTGGTAGCTGCAAGCACCAAGGTGAATGAAATGGGTGAACACTGTCTCCCTTCTGGTAGCTGCAAGAACCAAGGTGAATGAAATGGGTGAACACTGTCTCCCTTCTGGTAGCTGCAAGCACCAAGGTGAATGAAATGGGTGAGTATTGTCTCCCTTCCGGTAGCTGCAAGCACCAAGGTGAATGAAATGGGTGAGCATTGTCTCCCTTCCGGTAGCTGCAAGCACCAAGGTGAATGAAATGGGTGAGCATTGTCTCCCTTCCGGTAGCTGCAAGCACCAAGGTGAATGAAATGGGTGAGTATTGTCTCCCTTCCGGTAGCTGCAAGCACCAAGGTGAATGAAATGGGTGAGTGTTATCTCCCTTCTGGTAGCTGCAAGCACCAAGGTGAATGTAATGGGTGAACACTGTCTCCCTTCCGGTAGCTGCAAGATCCAAGGTGAATGAAATGGGTGAGTATTGTCTCCCTTCCGGTAGCTGCAAGCACCAAGGTGAATGAAATGGGTGAGCATTGTCTCCCTTCCGGTAGCTGCAAGCACCAAGGTGAATGAAATGGGTGAGCATTGTCTCCCTTCCGGTAGCTGCAAGCACCAAGGTGAATGAAATGGGTGAGTATTGTCTCCCTTCCGGTAGCTGCAAGCACCAAGGTGAATGAAATGGGTGAGCGTTCTCTTCCTTACGGTAGCTGCAAGCACCAAGGTGAATGAAATGGGTGAGTATTGTCTCCCTTCCGGTAGCTGCAAGCACCAAGGTGAATGAAATGGGTGAGCGTTCTCTTCCTTACGGTAGCTGCAAGCACCAAGGTGAATGAAATGGGTAAGTAGTGTCTCCCTTCCGGTAGCTTCAAGCACCTAGGTGAATAAAGCTTGAGATCACAGAACAGTCACCATCAGAAGGCCTTCTACTGCGTGTGGAAGTCATGATAATATGGGCATTCAGAGTGTGAATAGATTCAGCTTGTTGCAAGTGGAGACAAATAGATCAAACCTGATGGCATATGATGTTGCTCATAATATTAATCACTGGTTTGTCTTGTCAATATATTTATAGTATATAGGCTGCCATGTTATAGCTGGAATATTGCAGATCACTACCTTAAACAACAAAGAAACAATTGTGTATCATAATCTCTCATTTCTCAAATTCACAGTTGTCCATTGTCAATGTTAGCAAGGGTCAAACTTGCTTCCATGTGCTCTGCATAAGACTATCCTAGAACTGCATAACATGCAGGGTTAGGGTTCTTTGTACCCCTACCTCTTTATTCAGTAATTCGTGTCTGTACAGCTTCTTATTGGTATAGCGGCGGTCGGGTAGCCTAGTGGTTAAAGCGTTCGTTCATCACACCGAAGACCCTGGTTCGATACCTGACATGGGTACAATGTGTGAAGCTCATTTCTGGTGTCCCCTGCCATGATATTGCTGGAATATTGCTAAAAGCGGCATAAAACCATACTCACTCACTCACTCTTATTTGTATAATAGCCTGATGCCTTGAACTGATTAATGGTAGATGTAGATTATGAATCCTAAATATGTGCAGTCATGTACTTGTTTGATTTTGTTTGTTTATTTGTTGTTTAACGCTGCACTCAGCAATATTCCAGCTATATGACGGGGGTCTGTAAATGATCGAATCTGGACCAGACAATCCAGTGATTGACATGAGCATCGATCCACGCAATTGGGATACGATGACATGCTTCAAACCAAGTCAGCGAGCCTGACCAACCAATCCCCTTAGACGCCTCTTACGACAAGCATAGTCGCCTTTTACAGCAAGCATGGGATTCTGAAGACCTATTCTACCACGGATCTTCATGGGTCGTGCTAGTTTGAGGTGAGAAGAGAAGAAATAGTGTTCAACTCATGTTCAGGATTTTTACCCCCGACGTGCATGTACGTGTACGTGTGTGTGTACTAGTCCAGACGTATGCAGGTGCTGGCTATCTGGGGTACCCTGCCGCTAATTAACATGGATACCCCACTCATGGATAACACACAAAACTGACTCCGAGCCTCCAGTCTTTATTGTATCCCCTTAAAGCCGAGCGCCAGGCAAGATAACAACTACCATCCTTTAACGTCTTTTGGTATGATGCGACCAGGGGATCCAACTGACCACTGACCGCCCGCTCTCCGGACAGACTCTCTATCCACTACACTACGGAGGCGTTTTACTAATTTGATGGTGTTAAGTGCAACTTTATGTTCTTGTTGGTATTCGTATTAGTGTCTCCAAACAAAAGTCCCTACATCCCAAATCACTGAACAGTTACTGTACGTTCCAGTTTGCGAAATGGGAATCTGGTTGTCTTGCTTGACATACGCGCAAATAAAATGGACAATTTGACTGTCATTCCTGACAAGTTCCAACTAAAATGGAAATCTCAGTGTCATGCTTGACACAAGGGCAAATAAAATGGAAATCATGCTTGACACAAGAGCAAATAAAATAATCATGCTTGACACAAGGGAAAATAAAATGGAAATCATGGTTGACACAAGGGCAAATAAAATGGAAATCATGCTTGACAAGGGAAAATAAATTGGAAATCATGCTTGACACAAGGGCAAATAAAATGGAAAATTGGTGGTCATTCTTGACAAGTGTAAACTAAAATCGGGTTATCATGCTTGACATAGGCACCTAAAATGAGATTATGATTGCAATGCTTGACATTAGAGCCAACTGAAATGGGATTTGGCTGTGAGGCTCCTTAAGTTGGCTGATTGTGTGTCATCCTACGCGTTTGTCATGGGTTCCTGCTCATTCTTTCAATCACTGATTTGTCCAGATTCTGTGTTGGTTGTTGTTGGTTTGTTGTACCAGATTGATTTTGTTTGTTACTTGATGTTTAACGCCACCCGCAGCAATATTCCAGCTATATGACGGCAGTCTGTAAATAATCGAGTCTGGACCAGAAAATCCAGTGATTGATATCACGAGCATCGATCCGCACAACTGGGATCGATGACATGCGTCAACCAAGTCGGCGAGCCTGACCACCCGTTATTCGCCTCTTACGACAAGCAGAGTCGCCTTGTACGGCAAGCATGGGTTGCTGAAGACCTATTCTACCCTGGACCTTCACGGGTCCCAGATTTTAGGATACAGCTGGGAAAGTGGTGACTGAGTCTTCCGTAATTTGATGTCGACATTTCAAAATATGTTAAATCAAAAGGCAATAATGGAACCCGGGGCCTTCTTGAATGTAAAGTACATGTAGTTCTTAATACCAGCGTGATAGAATTGACAGAATGTTGGTACCAATGACAGCTTCTCTAGACATTTAAGTAGATATTTGACCGACATCATCTCATGGAGAAAATTTTCGACGGAAATCTGCAGACCATCTCTAAGTGTTTATCATAAATGCGTTTTAAACGTTTATGACTCCCATTATGTTGTATCATTGATCAAATAATTTTATTACAAGACAGATGTGACATTTGTAAATTCGGCATGAAAGGATGTGGATTTTAAGTACGTTAATAATTTGGAAATATACACGTCAACTTCTTGAGCAGAGAGTTTATCGCCTGACATAAAGGGGAAATTGACAATTGAGAGAGCATGCATCAATGTGAGACATGTCCATGTCTTCCATTCTATTCATTGATCAAGGTGAGAAAGTGATGAACTGGATTCAGTGTTTAAGCATGTTTCTGGTTCAAGACATCCTCATCCGTTTCGGTAACACCTGGTGTCATCACTGGAAGTTTACAATCTTGCCTGAATGTGCGCATGACTGGGTCCCTTCCTCTTGGACCCCTGTTTCCTTTCATGTGACAGAGATACGAGTATTAATATCCCTTAGGCATTGGCGTTTATTGGCAAAAGAAAATCAAGATGGCTACGGTTCTGGCACAATCAGTGAGCAGTATTGCACAAGAGAGACTTATTAATCAAAGCGATACAGCCATGACAGTCTACAAAGAAACAGTATTGGCAAATTGGGTTAACAATGGCCGACAGTCCAATGTATACAAATGGAAATTGTAAAACGAATTGAAGTGAGTGTGTCAATCTGGCTGGTTAATAAACGTTGTTCAGTGGGATTCAAGGCTTTGAAATCCTGTGGATATCACTCGGTACGAGTACTGTTCTTAATAAATATCATGTCCAAAACTGATAAAAAGCATTGGTATTCTTCGTGACGACATGGATATTGTAATTTGTATATTGCATTTGATAAATGTTTATCAGACAAACTTCTATTTAGTTAATTAGTTTTGCAAACAAGGATGGTTCTGTTGAATAGCAGATTCTGAAGACATGTCGTTTTTACCGACGCAGCCAGCAATATTCCGGCTATCACTAAACACACGAGCAATGGCCCATGCCAATCGGGTACGGTGGAACTCACGGAG